GATAAAAGAAAAGGACACAGTTTTGGAATTACGAGGCTGTTGTTGGCTCCCAAGTCGTCGGCGAGTCAAGTGCCGGCAAGTTGAAAATTATTTATACTCATTATTTGGACTCTCTTATTTATTGTCACTCTGATGAGATGTGATGGGAGGTCGAGACCGGAGTCGAAGATTACTCGGCAATTTGTTTTGTGTTTGGACATTGCAGGCAATCTCCGAATCCGAATCCGAATCGAGTCGACTCTTCCATTCCATTCCAAGAAATGTTTTGCCCGCTGACTGTTGTGTTTACCTTTTCAAGTGTCATACATAGTTGTGGGATTTCTATGCTATTGTTGGCATAATCCAACTCTCTGCGGAATTGGAGCAACCCAAAATATTGTGTATTTCTATGGAAATTTGTTGCCACACACACACACACACATACAGCTTAAGCTTTCAAGATGCAAACAGATAACAACAATTGCTGTGGATAAATGAAACATTAACCCAAATTGGCGTCGCAGACAAATTGTATTTATGACAAACATTCGTTTTAATGCGCATTCTATGCAAATTCTGGCAAAATCGTGCCAATCGTGCTGCAAGATGCGGCCAAGCAATTTATGCGAATGCTAATCAAGTTAACACCAAAAGTCCCCCGACAATGCCTGACAATTTTTAAGTGCGTATCTGTGTCGACTCGGCAGCCTCAGAGCTGCTGATGCTGTTGTCGCTGCACAAAAACAATTATTAATGATTTTGCTAAATGCTACAGAAAATAATGACAAGGCAGCTGAGCACAGCACTGCACAGCACTGTACGAGTATTCGCAGAGAGCCTTTTGCTGTTGCTCAAATTAACAATTACAAATACATAGTTTTCAACACCTCGGAGGCCTCGACTTTGTCTCGTCTGTTTTGACTGTCTTGGCTGTCGTGGCTGTCTTGGCCGTCTTGGCTGTCTTGACTGTCTTGACTGTCTTGACAGTGCACGTGGGCCGACAGAGCGGCTCACAAACTGCAATGAATGATTCGACATGTATCTATTTGTTTGCCAAGTGGGCTGGTGAGCCCGCAGCGCGCAGCGCGCAGCCCGCAACGCGCAACGCGCAACCAAGAGGCGTGCCACACAGTCAACAGTCAACCATCAACACCAACACCAACACCAACACGAGCGGCACAGACAGCCGCTTGCCTTCTTTTTTCCTGACATTTAGCGCGTGCGCAAATGAGCTGACAACAATGGCCCAAACGCGAGCCGTTAGAGAAAGAGCTCATCATCTTCATAACCATCATGATGATCGTCGACAACAGTAACCATCTCCATGTCCATAAGTAAGCCAGCCCTGGAACGCCATCGTCATCGTTGCCATTACCTTCGCCTACACTCAGCTAAAATTCTCCCTAGTTCTATAAATATGGAGATCATGGCAGGCAAAAGGAATAAAGCTGAAATGAAGTCCCATTCGATTTGGCAGTCGTTCTTCATGATCTGATATGTTCTTAACTAAAACTCAAAATATACCAGGAATCTTTCAGTATTTGATGTATCAAGTGAAATAAATTTACAAACTTTTGCGATCCACAAATACATTAATTTTTTCTACAAGTACATACATATCTTTTTGTCACTTTCCCAAATAATCAAAATGATGAAATTAATTGAATTATACTATGAAATATTAAAAGAAATCGCAAAATAAGAATGACTCGTAAGCTGCGCTTTTAATGGAATGGTTCTGTTCCCACGAACGTCTGCAGGCATGAGTTATGGACTCCTACTCCTACTGCATTCCATTTTGCAATTTCATGGACTGTACTGAACAATTAATTTTTAGATTTTCAGCTTAGCAACTATACCTAGAATGTAGCTCTGTTATATACACTTAGTATTGCAACTTCCAAATGGGTAGTTAGCTTATTTGCTTCAATAATTTTCATTTATATTGTTTGTGTTCCAAAGGTTTCCTTCATAGTATTACAGTGAAAACTCCCTTAACGGACTTCTCTTTTATCCGAACACTCTCTTTGGCGGACACTTTTTCTAAAACATTCGATCGGTATGTAAAGTATTTGAGTATCCCCTTAAACGGACAAAAATTGGCCGACCGTAAGTATCCGGCCAATAGAGGTTTCACTGTATATGTACTATTGGTATTGAATTGTAACTCATTGATATTGTCAGGTTTGCCAAAATGTTCTTTATTTATTGAATCATCCAGAGACTTTGGAGTTCTATAGTGTCCTTAAATTAAAAATTATTTTCTTGCCGATCAACGCACAGTTTTTCAATTAGAAGTTAATTAAAGAAGAAAGTAATTTTATTACTACTTAGACTTTCAAATATTGAAATTAGATTTAGTCTGTAATTAGGAATTGTTTGAAATTATATTATTTATATGTGTTAAGCTCCTGTAGGATCCCAGTGCGAGCCAAAAGCAGTCTGCCACTTGTCTTCTATACTTCACTTGCAAGTAAAAACATTATGGTTGGATCATTCAATTTGGCCATACCTCACAAGTTACCGCCTTAAGCCGTACAATATAAGGGAATTAAAAATTAATCCTTAAATTTAGGGTCGTTTTAAAAGCTTTAATCTTTCTGAATTTTCTCTTTAAGGGGAAAAATCGTGTCTAACACTCCCTGATCCTGAACTTCATTCCCATGTAGACTTGGGTTAATGCCTGGTTCGTGGCCACAATGTTCCTTTGGTGCTCTCTGGTGAACATTATCTGGTGTGTGAACAGCGCCGTACATATGTCCTTTGGTCGTCTCTACTACAAGCCCCTCAATCCCTCGCAATGCCCTGCTTTGTCTCCCTGGCCAAGATTGGCAAACTATCACCAGGTCTTACAAGACCGCCAATTGGGAAAGTTACTCTCCTAATATGACAACAGCTTTGATTAATTTGTTTGCCAAGATCGGATCAACCTTCGGCCTAAGATGGGTAGCACTCGAGCTGTGGGGTGGGGGTGAAAAGGATCTTAGCGCTGGCATTGTTAAGGATATACTATTGTCAAGAAGAAGGCCGGAGGGTTCGTAGGCCTTCTCACTTCCTCCACACTCATGAAGTCGGTATTTATTGTATAGTGATGACAAATAAATCCGCATATTATAAGGCGATAATCATTAAACAATCTAATGGTTTGGAAGACGGGAAATAAAGTTTTCAATTGTTCGCGCAGTGTACGCTCTAGCCATATAGGACTGGCAAAGGCATCTGCTGGCCGCACTTGAACGACGTTTCTGCTGCCACTTCAGGTGTTGTTGTGAGCACCACCAGCACCACCAGCACCACCGAGCCGCCGCAATCGACGACGTGCGCATATTTGGTTTACAAATACATCCATACTTTTATTTTTTATTTTTCAAACATCATTTCTATGATCGCGTTAATCACCTTAAGCCCACTCAAATGGCACTCATCTGTATTGGGGCTACGGGTATACATGGGTATGGTTATCCATCCAGCTCTTCGGCCCCTGAATTTCTGGGCATAGGGGAGGGAGGGAGGGAGGGAGAAAAGGTTTCGTTGTCGCTTACTCAGCACGTTTTTTTTTCATATTATTTCCACTACCTTGCTAATGATGCGCGCCGCCAACTGTAAGTTGAACAATTGAAATGAAATTAATTTTTCTTGATAATTAATTAAACGCACAACTGTGGGCAAGCAGAGAAAACAGTTGCCACCTACGCCAGCCAGCAAGCCAGCCAGCCAGCCAGCCATCCAAAGCCTTTTTATTATTAATTGGACTTACAACCAAGGTGCTCGCTGTGACGTCTATCGCTCTGCTCGGTCTACTTGCCAGCTGAATTATGCAATGAAATCAAAGCCCATAAACCTATGGCGCAAATGAAACCGCACAAATAATTGCACCAAATTATAAATTTGTGTAATTAAATCATAAAACAAAACAAAAAACAATCGCTCTGGCCAAACCCAAAAGACAGTGACAATGAAGACCATGATGATGATGATGATGATGATGATGATGACGGTAACGACGCATCAACTGACACTGACACCAAAAGCAAATGCTGAAAAATTTCCATAAGTTTGTCTATTGATTTTGGGTGGGTGGGTTATGCGTAATCTATGTCGTATCATTATCAAACGGTCTATCATTTATGGCAACCCATATACCATACTTGTATGCCATAGACACAGCCAAGGTGAAAAGTAGGACAGCGGTGGAAGTGTTTGCCAAAATATACTGCTTATTACTTATCCAATTGTTAATAATATAAATCATCTAGCAACCATTAAACACCAACATATTCGTATATCGAAGAACTAAGTGTATAATTAATGATTCTTTAGCATGTACCTTCAAACAAGGACATTCCATGGGATTACGGGTTTTATAAATTTTTGTAGCAAAAATTATAATCTTGGAACTTGAATTTCATTTATTTATACGAAAATCTCGTCACTCATCTCTATTTTGCAAATAAGAAATGTAAATTTTAAGACAAAAAAAAAAAATACTATTTATAGAATAAAATGCTATTTACCTATTTATTCTTTATTTGTGGCTCTCTCTGTAACTAATTCGACTTCTATTTCCACCAAATAAAGCACAGCAAAACCCGTCGAGGGCGAGCTAACTACGAAAACTCAGTTCGAATGCACAAATAAATTAAACAAAATACTAACTATTATATGATAATAGTTCATTAGTGTTAAGACACATCCCCAACTTTTTATTTTATTTTTATTTGCAAAATGTATTGAAAAAGATCCCTACATTTATCACATTCCTATAATGTTTTGGCCATAAAACATTTATTATGCATTCCATTGTTCTTTGCAAATAAATTTCAAGGTTAAACTCAACTCAACAATATAAATATAAACAATAACCCCTTTGGTAGAAGTGCACTAGAGAGAATGGAAAGAACTCCTGGGATGATTGCTTTTATCAAATGTTCAGCTTATCAGCAGCCGTAGTCGGAGTTGTCATTTTATTTGTGCACCCACCGGCAATAAACTTCTATGATCCGATCAAATTTTCAATACCTGCAAAATTAAAGAACAGCAATAGCAGATTTTCTTACAAAATTCCAAAAATGAGTCCCAGAACGCGTCGTTATATCGTAGCTATACTCTTTCTTTTGTCGTTCTTTGTCTATCGCATGGCCGAGAATCAGTTTGGTGCTGAGAAACGTAAGGTTTTTGAAGACATATTATACACTCGTATGAAACACTAAGAGCTGCCATTTATAGCTTTATTTCCACGCTGCCAGCGTTTTGAGGAGCACGCCTTACTGAAGGACTTCACGCATACGGCCGAAAGTGTAAGTTCCAAAGGAAGTGTTTAGTCTCAGTCGCCCCATTTATCAACTGTAATTTACAGTGTACGATGGAGAAATATCATAAGCCGGGCGCAAAGCCGAATCCCCTCTATGTTAAGGTTAGTTGTCGCGTTGAAGAGCTGCCGCGGGGCTACACACGGCGTCTGAAACCCGAGGAACATGTGCGGAATCTACTTGAGGGCGAGCGGAGTACGGAGACCCGCAAGCACCAATGGACATTCGAAGTGCCGCGCGACGCCATTCAGGGACTCAACGAGCTGGCGCTTTGATTGCTTTTAGGCAAACACAATACCCTCCCACACACACATACATACCCGTCTCAGCATATCTGTGTATACTCACATGCATAGGTCCATTTATAGTCAGTCGGTCAATAAATAGATGAAATATTTTCAGTGATAAGCAAATGTCAGCGCGCATGATGGAGTTGCCTCCTATTTTTCGATTCGATTTGCATTTATCATAATAACACGGAATGCCACCAACAAATTCCAATTAAATCAAAGGCCATGGGTCAAGCGAGACGTGACGAGCATAGAAGTGCCGCCATAGCCTCTTAACCCTTTGCTGTCAGCGACGATCACTTCACTGCCTCAGCGACTCCGACTCCGTCTCCGACTCCGACTCCGCCACCGACGCCGACTCCTACTACTGCTACTGTTGTGTGTGGAGTGCTGTTATCGTGTCTCCGTCCCGCTCCCGCTCTCGCTGCCGCTGCCGCTCCTGCTCTCAGGTCGCACTTCGACTTGACTGCAACAATCTGCGGCTCAGTTTAATGAGCTTATCCATCAACGGTCGCGACACAGCCGAGACTCATCTGTCAGCCGGCTAATAGGTTTCATTAGTCATGCGGCCGTCCAGCGAGTCCAGCGAGTCTTCCAGCTCCCCACTCCGGCGACTTTGACAAATTTCTGGCTTACGCGCATTGTTTTGCTTTTTGGCCAAGAAGGGTACAGTCTGTTGAATCTAATTTGTGATAGACCGGGAAGGAACTGCTGTAGGCTTAAAGGAATTTAATACTGCCTCGATTTTCAGCCTCAAACTTTTCAAAGCTGTTGCATATATAGAGATTATGAAAGATTCAGTTTGTGGATCTGTATTTTATAAGGGAACTAAACTTCATTTAAAAACTTTGAACTGGTCATTTGTTTTTGAAGAATTATATGTAGTTGTTTTATACAAATTTTGTTGTTATTCCTCAATTGTTTGAATCGCATGTTTGGCACTAGAAAATCAATGTAATTTTTGATTCCTTTTTATTTTTACGTTTTCCTTTTCAAATTATGATTTTCTTATTTTCAATATAGCTCTTGACTCTTTTTCTCTCTCTACTGTATATTTGCCATTTCCTTTAACCATCTCTGGCGAAATGTCTGAGCGGGAAACAGCTTGATAGACTGGCAATTTAATTTTCTCCCACCGGGTTGCACCGTTTCGGTTTTCATCGTCTATGCACTAAATTTTTGGGTAACTATTCTAAGTCTAAGGCATACAGTATTTATTATTATTAAAAAAATATAAATATATATAAATATATATTCTAACTTAGATTTCCAATATCTTTAATATACAATTCATAGTATTGGATTTAGGATCCTGTGCTGCTCCAAATGAAATTTTTTATTCATCATTATAGCTGCCTTATATTTGTAAAATTTGAGATGAACTCTAGTCGATTATTTTGTTAAGGTCCTTTAATCAGCTGCCTCTGATCCTGCTGTTGCTTCTGGCGCTTATTTTTCACGCATTTACCTTGCACTCGTTTCCCTGTTTGTGGCTGCTCTGGCTCTGGCTCTGGTTTTGGTTGTCGTTTAGTTTACTGTTTTATTCACTTTTCATTTATTTTCACTTTGCGTGTCGACAGAAATTTTCACCTTAATTATTTTTTGTTGGCCGTCGGGGGTGGCTGGCAAGGATGGAACGCTAATGTTTAATATCCGCTCTGGAGTCAGTCGCTCGGTTTGCTGGAACGAGAGACAGTTATGCAAATTTTTAACATTATTTTTATGCATGTACTATGTGTGTGTGTATTTCTATTTGAAAAGGAAGCAGGACAAACACCATCACACAATCGTGTGCTCGTAAATTATTGAAAGCACACACACACACATACACACACACGCACGTGCATGCACTGACAGCCTGGCAACCGTTTGTCCATTTGGGCCAACGTCCTTTCGTGTCGGCCAGCATTTGTGGTTGCCATTGCTGTTATTGTTGTTGTTTTCGTCTAACCTTTCTACCTTTGCTTTGTCGGGGTCGGGTCGGGTCTGGCTGTGGGTCTGGGTCTGGGTCTGGGTTTGGGTCTGACTCTGACTCTGAGCTTGGGGTCATCAATATTGGCGCCACAGTCGCTCGCTCGGGCCTGTCTTTGTTGGCGAGAAATGTGGCTAAACTTTCTTTGTCCGCCATAAAATGTTCAATTAGTTAATGAAAAATTTTCCAATTGGTTGAGAACACACACACACACACATCTACGAGTACGAATACATACGACTGCATATCGGCAAACGCGACTATAGGATATGTCTGAGCGCTGAATTTATGTTTGTGATTTATGCACGACAGCGATTGCCAATTACAATATCGTTTTTCTTATTCCTCAGACTGTCGCTTCGACTGCGCGCTTACATTTATTTTGATTGTGTGTGTGGTTGTGTGTGTGTGTGTGTGTGTGTTTAAGAGTGCATGTGTGTGCGAGGGTGAAGTCCCATTAAGAAATATGTCAAAGCGCTTGATAGGTTGTACAATGACTGACTTAAAGGAACTATATAATCGTTCTTGATGGGCTATATATTACTGTCTTGAACCAATTAGCGAAATGTTGTGAACCACATAGGTAGATAGTTGCTTTATTAGAGGCTTACCCCAATAACTAGATTGAGGGAGTGAAATAATCACATCTGGATAAACGATCACAAGATATTAATTCCTCACAAATTTGGTAAATTTCAACACTGAGTGATGAATGCATTGTTTCTTCAATTGAAACCAATAGTTTTATTCTAAACGACAAATTTCCATGCAAATTATTTCCATGTTTAACCTTAGATTTCCTTTGCTACACCTTGATTATCTCTATAAATAAAAAACCCCTGACTCACCGAAGCTTCAAACATGGATTGTATATTCTCAGAAAGAATACAAAATAAACTGCTTAGTTGGCTTTTTGTAATTTTTGTTGGCTCCTGAAATATTGGCGACTTCTTGTAGATTTCTATTTGATGCCAACTATTTTATCGAATAATTCAAAAATGGTCTAATACTTCTGATTTCTTACTAAGTTCGGCAGAAAGACTGAAATAGTAGTAGCTAACAATTACAAATACATCGGCTTTTTCTCCAAGATAATGTTGGTAAAAATATGATGTTAAAAGCCCAAACTAATGAAAAATCATTACTACATTACTCATTTAATTAAAATTTATAAATGATCGCGTTGTAATTTAATCATAGAACCTTAACAGCATTAGGCAATGCATAATCATCCTTTTAGGAGGAGAAGGAGCCAATATCTTGTTGATCTGCAATAAAATAAGGAATAAAGACTAACTGAACGGACATTTGTATACTCTGTGCGGGAAGGCTGATCACCATACTGAGAAGAATCGTTGAAGTCGGTCCCAGAGCATCAATAAATATTCAACAGAATCGATATCGTAAAAAAACGTAATACAGATACAATTAAATAGTGTCCCACATTATATTTTTAATCGAAATCGGAGTCTAAGTTTAAGTCAAAGTCTAATTTTTGGATCACTATATGTTATAAGTAGATGCCGTTTGAACAATCTATTTAATTTATTTATATTAGTGGCCATTAAAAAGGTTTCGTTCTCGTCTATCTCTGTTTTATTTAAGCATTATTTCCTAAATAATTGATTTTTAATACTAAAAGTATAAAAAAAGCGCCCCATTGTTGTAACCCTTTGAATTATTCAGTAAGCCCAAATAGGCTTTGGTGCATAAAAAGAGAGAAGTAGAGTTATTCTGACAAAATCGAATTAGAGCAGAACATATTGACTGGCTGGATGCCTAACTGACTGACTAACTGAGTGACTGACTGACTGAGCAAATGATGAATGCCTGTCTGTCTGGCAAAAAGTCAACAACACTCTTTGTTTTACTTTCCCAGCAAACAGAAATTAAAGCCAAGAGCCAAGAGCCAAAAGACAACAACACCAACAGGAAAATGCGACGCATGACACAAATTCACAAAGGTAGGGAAAAAAGAAGCGAAGAGAGAACGACGGCGACAAAAATTTACATGGAAATGAAAATGGCTGGGGAAATGGGAAAAATGAGAACACTGCGGGGTCGCAGCAAAAAACAAAAACAAAAACAAGAACAAAAAAGCCCAATGACGACGCACGGCGCTGTGCAAACAGCAATAACAACAACAATAATAACAACAACAAGGAAAACTACAGTGGCCGGCCGAGCGAAGCGCATCAATAAAGCGACTAACTTGCTTGGTTTAGTGAGAGGCGAGAGGGGCGTGGCCGGGGGCAGGAGGCAGAAGGCAGAAGGCACGCAATGTGCCGTGCGCTACTTTTACGCATTTTTGTTTGCACTGTAAACTATGCAGCGACTGAGGAACTGAATGAATGAGAGAATGAGTTGCCGACGACGATGATGATGAGTTGAAGGGAGCTTGGAAAAACAAAAGAAAAGCAACGCAAAGTGCGGGAGTTTCCTGTGATATGCTGTGCTGTGCTGTGCTGGGCTCTACTCGTTCTAGTGCTCGTACTGGTACTTTGCATCGCATAATGGGCTTCCTCATTATGCGTCGAACTAATGAAGCCTGAAATCGATTTGTGGAGCGAGTTTATGCGCATTATGGCCAATGGGCCTTTTCAAATGAAATAAAACCGAACGAAGCCAAATCGAATCGAATGAAAACAAAAAAGAACTTTTGTCAAGTGATGCGATGAATTAGAACGAAACAAAGTGCGGAACGGACCTAAAACCGATCGTGTGAGCTGCTGCTGACCAGTATATACAGCTTTGCATATAACTTTGTTAGTAGAGCAGCAATAAATAGAGGCCACAAGTAAAGAGCTCCCCAAAATTCATACAAAACATAAAAATTCACAGAGTCGCTCATTTCTTACAATTGAAATAGGAAAGTATGTCCGTTGATTAAACAAATGTGTATCGATATTAAAGCTATGAAAATCACCTCATATTATATTTAAATACTCTTATATATTGATTGATTATCTTGGGGTATTAAAAAAGACAGCATAATGGATTTGAGTAACAGATGACTCATACAAGTTTAGAAAATTTTGCATGCATATGCAAGAATTATCAAATCTATACAAATTGGTTTAGTGAACGTGCGTGATTTGGCAGCTTTTTCTCACGCGCGCACCTCTGTTAACAGCGGAAATTAAAATAAAAAGTAAAAGCAAACTGATGAAAATTTGTTAAAATATTATCTGCTTTTTGTAGTAGTAATGGGTTTAATGCTGCAGGTGTAAAGAGCAAGTTTTTTGCGCATTTTAGAATTTTTTCTATAAAGCATGAGGTACATTGCAATCCCGAATTCTAGAAAGAAATTTCTTAAAAACCAGTAATAATTTTAGTGCAGTTTCCCAAGAAGGAAGTTAATATAATTATTTCTCTCCAAATTTTCGGTAAAAAGTCTTACTACAGAGGAACCACAATATAAAAGAAATCCACTGATTCAATGGTGATAAATCTTAGGCTTTTTTCGAAACATGAAACCTTTAACTTTGTTGGATCATCTCTCTGAAATCTGACATTATTTGTTCTAACTTTATAAACTTAAATGTAAAACTCTAGCCTAAAATAATGCAAAATTTGTAGGACAGCGGCAAAGTTATGGCAATTTAAGGTTCAATCAATCGCTTAACAAATCAGCAATAAGCTAGGGATGTAAAAAAAACATCGATGTATGTTTTTACCATGTTTTTACCACGACGATGCATCGATGCATTCCGATGGTTTTTTGCTAACGATGCATCGTCGATCCATCGATGTTTGTCCAAACATCGAACATTATTCATGTTTGTTGGGTGGACCCATTTCTTTGTGTAGTTTAACGAAAAAGGTATATTTATATTAAAAATTATTTGATGTTTTCATTAAAATGTGTATTTTGTAATATGTATTTAAGATTGTTAAGCATTTGATCTTCATTATTTCGTATATCATATATAATCAGTTTTTCATAGATTTTTTATAAAGAAACATGTATTGTACATCACCATCGATGTTTTCAACAGCCTAAGCTACTTAGGTAAGACTCTGATGATGCATTAAGGCTATACTTGAAATCCCTTTGCTTCATACGAGTATTCACTGACAGTACGTCTCTTGTTATGATTAAATAATTCCGAAACATAGAAGTATTAGCTTTGTTTAATCTGTGAAGCCTTTCAAGATCGGTTATGATAATTCTCTTCCATCTACTGTTTAGAATGGTTTAATATTTAAAAATAAACAACAGGGCCTTAACCATAGAAAGAATAAATGGTCGAAATAGTGTAATTTAGTGACAAAGTGTTATTTATTACCACTTTGTTGATTTGCAATTAGAAACGATAATTCAAAAGTTGAACTCTTTCGTCGTCTGAAGAACGGACTGAAAGGGCCTAAGCCGCCCACACACTCGGGCACGCACGGAGATGAGCTCACACATTTATTTTGTGCATTCCAATCCGATCTCCACACACCTGATTACCCACCAGCTGTTGCCACTGCTCCGATGGCTGCTGAAAATCCTAAAATTTACAGCTTTTGCCTCCTTTTAGCGGGCCTCGGCCTGCGCTCTGCGCCTGCCCTCACCATGCATTCCCTCTTTTTATTGTAAATTTACGATCGTTGCGCTTATTTGTTTTCTTTCGTTTTTATTGTGTCGTTGCTGCAATTGTTGTTGTTGTTGTTGTGATTGTTGTTGTTGTTGTTGTTGTTGTAGCTGCGGCCACAGACACCTCAGGTGGCTCTCCTACCACACGCATTCTTCTTAACTCGTAGCCCGAGGCACCAGCGAAGGTGTCAAGTGTTTGTGTTATCTTGTGCTTATTTCTGCGGTTGGCTTCTTAGCCTGTTTTTAGGCCAAGATGCAGGCCAGTTTGTTTTCCAACTCCACTGGCTGTGTGTGTGTGTGTGCGTGTTTCTCAAATTGCGTCAAAAATTATCGCCATTAAATGTAGATGAGCGTTTAGTTGTTAAGTTATTGGCCCATAAATTACAGCGCCCGATCGTTGTGGCGCTGCTGTAGGATGCGTATAAAAACGGGTTGGGAAGCGTGCGAAAGAGAGAGGGAGGGAGGGGGGATAGAGGGAGAAGCGTTTTCATTCATAAACAGCTTTGATTTACGGCCGCCGTTGTAGCGGCGAATCTTTGGTGGGCTAAAGAAAGTCAAAGCACGCGTACCTGGCTGGCCATAAGGAAGTTGTGATCACAACTAATTTATTTCGCGTTTTTATGCGAAGCCACCAAATCATTTTGAAATTTATTCACAAAAAAAGAGTACTTCGAAAATTGTTTAATTGCTTATTTATTTATTTGAATTCCCAAGTAATTACAATTGAACTTAAGCGTACGGAAGCTACCACAGTAATAAGAAGCAGAAACTTACCACGTGGTAGCAAAGTCTTACTCCTAAAAGTAGGCAAGAATAATTATATGGGGCAGCTTCTAGTTGAATTTGGCTTGTACACCCTGTCCAAACGGCGGCACAGCGTTAGTTTTCAAATAATAAAACGAGGTGGCGCTAGAAGGTCGTAAATGAAAGGTGTATTCTAGTGATTATTTATACATCTTTTGGTGTATGTATTGGCTAAATTTAAAGAGGAGCCATCTACCAATAACAAGCTTTGACTAAGCCATAATGTTTCCTGCAATCCTGATTGCAACCGTAAGTTTTATAGGTATTTGTTGCCAAGATTTCTGTTGCATATAAATTTGTTGCGTAAGCACAAGCTTTTAATTATTGTCTCTAGGTGGTGTGTGTTTCCATTAATTAAGTTTTTAGCCAATAGATGCATTTGTAGTATAAATGTTGCTATGGTCAGTTAGGCAAATAATTTGCAGAGAAATTGGTCAATTACACAATTATGTCTCAAACTAAGTTAGTAATAGATTTGAAATTGTTCAGACAAACTATATCGAGTCGCAATATCTATTTGCAGACCTTGACGCCTGTTTAAACGATAATTGCAAAAGCCTAAACGTTACGTTTTAGAATGGATTCCTTAACACAAATCCAATATAGTATTCTTCCATGATTATAGATCACAAAAACTATATACCCAAGGACGTACGCAGGGGGAAAAAGATTTCACACTCTGAAATCGACCACACATTCATAAATATGGCGCACTTTTTCGTCTTAATATGTATTTGAATTGGATTTGTTGAAGTTTTCCTATTGATAAATTATTATTCTGTGCATAAATTATTATTTTAACGCCTCGTGTATTATTTGATCAAAATTTAAAATTGTTGGCCTTTGGCTTTTGGGAAAAGCTGCGTGCGCCCTTGATTATATCCTACTTTGTCCATATTATTGATTTTTTCATAAGGTTTTTCTTCTTTCTCGATACAAAACCCATTCCTAATCAAAACGTGTCTGTGGCACTGATATGACATATTTCTATATTCTGCCATAGTCGATATAAATGTCCATTCTATTTTCCATTAATACACTTACCTTCTCGTCACGTGCTCTCCCATATAAACGGCCTGCGTCTCATCCGTGGCGGCATCAGCAGCCTCAATGGCCGAGCTGTTCGAATTAAGCTCGGACGTCTTTTTCAAACAGCCCTTGATATTGCGACCTTTGATGTCCTTCAAGGTGCAAGGCATTGCTGGAAAGTTCTTGGGCATTCCAATAGATTCCGCATAGAAGAGCACAGCTCGATTATGACTGCAACTATCTGGGATTGGAAGACACATAACTTGATTAGGCTCCTTCCAAAATCCAATTTCAGGGCCTGAACTCACAGGCCTCGAGGATGAGCTTACTGGCTGCCAAAAGGTCCACATCTTCGCAGCCAGGCTGAGGAGTGCGTCCGAAGTTCGGATAGAAATCCGCCGTGCCGCGTGGCGTCAGATCGCCAAAGAAAGGATAGTCCGTGTGTACGACATCCACAAATCGTGCGGCATTTGCCCGCAGACTGTCCTCGGAGCGGGGCGAGAAGAGCGGCAGCGCGGGATCGAGGCCCGTCACGCGTCCCAAGCTGCCATTGAAGTGGTGACCAATGCGGCCGGCAATGTGCGCGCCCAGACTATGGCCAATCACATGCACCGCCTCATTGGAGATGTTGTGACGTTCCAGGAAGAGCTGCAGCTGCTTGGCCAGATGCAGGGCCACCTTGCCCACAGCTCGACGCGATTTGGCATAATCCAAGCTGGAAGCGGGCGACCAGTCGGCTATCAGTATGTTAGCAAAGCCCTGGGCCTTATAGGCTGTACAAAGCAAACCATCGATTCGTTAGTGCAGCAGAAGCTCTGTAGACCCCACTTGGGCTTACCGTTGGCCAGAGGCATGATGGAACCATGGGTTCTGGAGCCCAGAAAGCCATGCACAATCAACTTAAGGGACTCCACAGTCTCCAGCTGATCGACGCTCTCCAGAGGTAGTTCTCTGGGACTGCCCAGCCGAGCCGGTCTTTGGTAATAGATCTTACTCTGCCCCACGAGTGAGTCCAAGGACAGGGCCTGCACGCCCCACACCTGCCAGAATAGTGCCATCAAGCAGTAGCTCGTCTTCATTGTCTAGCGGATTTTCACGTTCTGAGCTCGACCGAGTAGTTTTCCAGCGCTTTTAAATCGCTCTGGCAGGCCCATTAGATGCGTCGCATGTTGCGATTTGTGCGTTTCCGTAATGCGATACGATTACCTCAAATACGCGGAATTGACGCACAGAGCGCTAAATGAAAATGCTAAAGCGTTGGAGAACTGTAATGACATCAATTCCCCGACTGTACTCAACATTAGAAGAGCATCCAGTGATTCCTCCAATTCTAAAATGTTGTAACATCTGATTTTCTTCACCATTCATTGCCATTGGATTCATCTTAGCTTTCTTGTAAATATTCGATTAGATTTGATTTAAACTTGAAACAAACATATTTAGTTCTTTCTTGTGAGAAAGCTTCAATCATTAGCCACATGTCTTGACTATATATTTAGCAATACTTTGATAGTGGCGTTCCCTTTATCTGATTGCTGATGAAACCTATAATTTAAAAAAAAAGTAAATTGAATTCAACGCTCAATATCTTTTTTTAGACATTACATTTTTATTATCTCGTAGTACACACATAAAATATTTAAAAGCGACTCTGATACAAATAGACAGCTAAGCTCTCGATACTCGTAACAAATTAATCTCAGATTATAACTAGGCATCGCACATATCTTAACATTAATCTCAAGCTGTGGACAAGTTCACAATGGGTTAATAAGTTACAAGAGGTGATGGACACATACGCACGAGTATATCGTGGTATTATACACTAACATCGGCTCGATGCATGGCAGTATATACATTTATTAAGAGGCCGAACTACTGGTATAGTTGAAGGAAGGCCCGACTCGACTCGACTCGACACACACTCAGCGTCTGGCGTCGTCTCGCACGAGTGGGCGAATCAGCATCTTGACACCATGCAGTGAGTAATCCTTGCCCTGGAACGTGTCCCAGAAAATGCCCGGCTCGCCAGCGTGGGCGTAGTTTATTTCCGTGAACTGGCCGTGCAGATTGCTGGTGGCACAATTGCTGTACCACCAACCGCCCTTGTGCTTCAGAGCGCAGTTGCATTGCACGCAGTTATCGTTATCGTTATCGAAGGTGGAGAACTTGGCGCCCGCATGATAGCTGAGCGAGTCCCCAGCCGATGCCTCGCTGTTCTGGAAGCTGCCCAGCAGTCGCAGCGGGTAGTGTTCCTTCTCGCCGCCAATGGCGAAGGTACTGTAGCGAGCCTCCCTCAAGTTGCCCTCGAAGTCGACGAGGAGGATGCGCAGCTCATGCAACGTGGACGCCGTCAGGGCGTGCAGCTTCTCCAGCCCGATGAAGAACTCGTCGGCCAGATTGCCAAAGCCCTCTCGATACTCCAGCCAGCCACGCTCGAAGTTCACTTTGCCATTGGAGCGTCGCATGATGATCGTCCAGCCATCTTCCTCGCAGGGCACGTAGAACGGTTCCGCCTCCGGGGTCAGCTGCAGTTTGATGATCCCCAGAGTAGCGGCATAGCTCTGCAGGCAGCTGGTGGCCAGCGGCTGTGCAGGATAATAAGGACCTGGCGCCTGTGATGGAGCGACCGAATAGCCATGAGCCCATGGTCCTTGCTGGCCCTTGCGATGCAGACGACGTTGAATGATGCTGAGCGTTGGAAGAAACCAGTTTAGAAAATTTCAAATGCTCGTAAGAAATACTAATATTTTTGCAAAACCAAGAATAAGTGGTGGTAGTTCTTGTATTACTAGGTGGGATTATGGGTATCAAAATACAAAATAATAAACAGTGCCTTCTGCTCGTATGTAGATTTTAAATAAATAAATAAATAAACAGTACCTAGCTTTGTTCTTAGGGGAGTCGGATTGACATGTTTTTGATTCAAGCTGGGGTTATTTTTATTTCATTTCAAAGAAGTTCTGCTTCTTTTTTGACTATTATTGACTATTTTCAGTGAAAATACTGAATACTTCCATACTATTTGCATATTATATTTTATTTGAATGCTATTTTCCAAACCTGTGTGGTACTATACATATTATTAGTGCGAATATTAGTGAATATATCCATGATTCCAGTATTAACAAGGATTATAGACTCGGAATGAAATCATAAGAGCGATTTATAGAAGTAGATGCAAACCCATAAAACAGACTGAGTTTTTAATCTCCTTTCTGTTGCTGATATTATCAATAATAATATGAATTTTCAATATCTGTCTATGGCATAACTGTTCAGATTTCTCAAGTACAGAATTCTTGAATTGAACTACAATTGTTCGTTATATTTTTCTCAGAGTGAATAGCTCCCAAAATTTTGATGCGATGATAAATGCAAGAATTGATTAATTCATGAATAATTTAATCGCAAGGACGAAACGAACATCATAAGACAATCGAAGCGGATTATATTTCACAAGTCTAAATGGTGTTTTAAAATACCAAAATATAAACGAAATGATTTCTACAAAATGTCTGTATCAGGTCTGAGCGAAATCTTGTAATTGGCCCTGTTTTTCAGAATGGCTGAGGCCATTTATACTTGCACTATTATTATGCTTAGAAAAACTAGCTATTTAAACCTAATTGAAATATAGAAATGCGACTGTTGAATCTTTTATACATGCATGTATGTATCTGAGAAACACTCACTTGGTGTTCTGAGCGATGCGGCTCACATTTTGCTGCAGCTCCTGCACATTAATGGCAGTTGAGGCCAGCAGAGTGGCCAAAGCATCCAAGCGTTGTGGCACATCCAGTTGCAAGTCCTGTGTGTTTGCTCTGCTCGTGGAGGCGGCAGGCGCTAGCTCGGGATCCCTCTGGAAAATGCCAGCTGGATAGCCGGTGGCATCTGTGGGTACTGCTTCGGGTACTGCGCGAGTGTTCCGCGACAGATCTGCGGAATTTAAAAGATTAATGGGAGCTCGACCACGCTAGATACCGAGGAGCAAGAGAAGCAAGCAGCACAACATCAAAAACAACATCAACTCCTTCAGGATTACCCCTCAATCGCTTCTGATTTCTAAGCTTTTGCGAGTGCTCTCTCACCAAGCGAGGACCCCTTAACTCATCGCTTTCACCTTTCAACTCGTCCAGGGTGTTGCGCGACAAACGCTGTATATGCTCGAAGCTGTCCAGACGCTTCTGGAAGTCCAGTTGCTGCACCTTTATGGACTCCATGCGTGCGGTATTGCTCTCGACCAGCTCATTGATTCTGCGAATTTGGTGGGAAAAAGGGCATCAGTCAGTATTTGCATGCTACTCGTAAATATCGATTCAAGTACGCGTCGCTAGCTGTTGATATCAAAATGAGGTCATCCCCCAGCCCAGTCAAAAAAAAAAAAAAAAAAACAAAAAAAAACCCCATCTATTAACTATGTATTAAGATTAGAATTTCTAAAGCATCGTCGGAGCCAAGGGCAGTACAAGTACTAGTCATATATTTTACAAAATTGAAATGAATCACGGTTTCCGATTAAGTTTCATAAATAAATGATAAGTGGGCTGAATTCATATTCATTTTATTATGAAATATGAAAAGAATCCACACTTGTGGATCATCTTTACCAAATTGTATGTAAACATTTTTTAAACGTGTTTCGACCTTGGCAATTGATTATTTGCACCAATATTATTATTAACAATCATATGCTAAATCCCTACACGCCCATATTTAATTTTCCATGGTAATTTTTCGAGCTATCTATCATCTGCAATTTTATGCCGGAATCTGGATGCAATCACAAATCTTGAAATATTTCATACAACCCCCTACAAGTTCGACAGTTAGATTCATTGCGATTATATATATGTACTTCCCATATAGATCTCTTTATCCCTCTTAAGACGATTTTGAAGTTATTGTAATAAATGAATAACTATATAGTAGTTTCCATCGCAGCTAATTCTTAATAATTATTGTCAGTCAATAGATTTCAATTATGTGCTGAAGAATTCACGATCAGATTAAAATAATATATGTTCTTTGATCGCGCATCAGAGATGAAATAGCTTTGTAGAAGGCGCTCATTTATAAATCAATATTTAATTGATATAGCATGTCGTGCGATGTTGCCATTAGAGTCTTTCTATCTATTGTTGCTAATCACTAAAGTATGGCCTATTTAGAGCCTCCTTTTATAACATGCATACAAGTAAGTATAAAATACTTATTTTTGTATTGATAGTATTCGAATATAATTGTGTAAGTGTTGCCCATCACACATATACTCGTATACTGATAATTAATTGCTGATATGACGTGTATGGTTTTTATTGTTAAACAAATAAGAGGCAGACCAGCGCATGAATGAATTTTCGAGCCTTAACGAATGTTTCTTGGGAACTCATTTGCCTGAGCTGAAGAGCTTAAGAAAATACAATGAGCTCTGGAGACGGCGAGCTAAAACCTAAATGTTTATTATTCTCCTATTGAAGTCGCTGTAAATATACATACAAGTATATTTTAATAATTATTATTTTGGGAGTGCAAAAGTGGTCTTCAAAGCAGTAGTTTTGGAAGCATTGATGTATGAAAGTATCACCACCGCCACCTAGCGCGTGATAGCGGAACTCTGCGTAGTAGGTTTAAAGGCCTCTCCTGAACTTCCCAAGCCCCCAACCGCTGCCCCATCTGAAATATTTAAACCGCCATTGCGATTTCAGTTGAACGTGATGCGTAAGTTAAAAGATCTGTCCGATTTTAATATATTTGTATATATTTATCATATTTAGTAGAGTAATCCAAGAAGCAAGTGTAGCACAAGTTGCTGGCTAAGCCATTTACATTTAGTTGGTTGCAAATAAGACTGACGCCTAATAAATAATAAAATTTACAGAGCACCTCCGTTCCGCCAACATTTCAGCAGGAAGTCGCCGTTTACCGACTGGGTTTTTTTTTTCGCTGAACAGACAAGCAAAGTGTTGTGTTGGCCTTGAACTCTGGAGAGAGCAGAAGGACAGCAGCTTTACAGCTTTGCGAAAAACCGATTTTAGTTCCGCTTTTTTGTTCTTTGTTAAATGAAATCTCTTTAGAGTAATACAAATTTGAATTTGCTCTTCTGATGTATTCTTTTTTTTTTTGCCCCACCTTAGTTGAAATTATTTGTTTATGCACTTTGCGAAAGCACTGTAGAAATGTGTATTTCTAAGAACTTTTTAAAATGTATATTTTAAGCATACTGCGAGTATAAATGCCGAATTTTCAGCCCCGCCGGCAATTACGGTAGCGCTTTCATCGAAGCAACGTGTGGGTGAGTCTGCAAATTTATTCTTATTTATTGTTGTTTATATTCTTTAGTGTTGTTAATGCCCAGCATACTCTACGCTCGAAAATAAAATACCTGTACTTTTTAATACACATTCGACTTATTCGCCTACTAATGTTACTTGCTGTTAAATTATTTCAAAGTTTGTGGTGTGCTTAAATCTTTTAATTACGTCCAGAGTTTAAGACTCTATGATTACAATATTTATAATGGAATACCTTTGGTTTGTAGCGAACTCAAGCTGAGCAATGTTTATGCTTTTTTTTTGTTTTAGAAAGGATTTATCCTCAATATTATTTCTTGGCGAACATGAAACTGCCCTGCATTACAAATATTATACCTAAAGCATTATTTGTTGACTATAATATTGAAATCGATTTAAATGGGACAAATTAACATTTCATTTATTCAGAAATCAGTGACTATTTCTTACGAATCGCGAGCGTCGATTAAATTGAACACAAGAAATGAGTACTTCTAGTAGACAAATAATTTGTGCACCACTTATGGCAAAACATGTTTAATTAGCTTGTGAGTGGTTTCTACACATCGCACAATATATGCTCAGAATATACTTGTACAGGGTGGTCTACATAGTGGTTTATTTATTGAAAAACTCAAAAAAGAACAAAGATCAACTTTTTCGGTATATTGTTGGTTTATTCGAAAGAGCTGGCTTTGCCATCATTTATGGAACACGATTGCATTCATGTGGCTGCCTTCTCAAGCTTCGCAGGAGCTCATCCTGTTAACCCATATTGCCAAAAATATCGATATTCGCCTTAAGGGCCTGAATCGTTAATGGATTATCCGATTTACATCCACTACAAGTATATACACCACCCTATAAAGTCGCCGTTACTCACAACCAGAACTAATCTAATCAGTTGAAGTATGGGCGTATAGTTCGGAGAGAAGAAGGGCTCGGAATTTGCAAGCAAAATCAATTGCTTGAAAAGGGAAAGTACTTGTATTTGCATTTAAAATTGGCCAAGCCATAGCTTTCCAGATTGGCGGATCTTACGTAATGGGGCGGGGTGTGAAAACTTAACGCTCTACAAAAGAGGCGTGAGTAACGAGCAGCTAATATCAGAAGCCAACTAACAAGTCTAATTCATGTGGAATAAAAATCAAATTTGATTTTTCAAAGAAATCAGATGATAATCTGTGGCAAGGTTAATACAAGTATAGCAAGCGAGCTGTCGAGCAAGATAGACGGGCTTTTTTTATTCATTCTATAAACATGCGATTTTGAAGAGTGCTCGAAATTGCTGATCCCTGGAGCGCCGCAAGCTCATTAAATTTGGCATTTCGGTTGCTGTTTTCTATCAAAGAAACGCAGAAAAAAGCAACAACATTCCTTCAGTAAACACAAACAAACATTCAAAAGATTTGTGCTGCCTGCAAACAAATTCGTAGGCGAAAATTTCCCATGAATCAAGGCAAGAAATTTGCAAGAAAAAGACGTATGGCCAAATCTATAGTATATGCCTATGTGTATCTGAAGAAATGTACCTATATAATTAAATTGGCAATGGAAATAGTTTGGATTGCTTTGTCACTGACTTATTATTATCACGGCCAATTGGCAATATTGTACATTAAGGCTGTTCTGCTTCACGCTCTTCTGCGCGTCTATTCTATTTTATTTGAGTTGGTCGGAAACCTAAGCAGAAAGCTACCAGAAACTCGTCAGTCAGTATACTATATTTGTCAAACCCTGCTGAAAACAAAGCGCGTTTAATTTGTTTTGTTTTACCGGTTTTTTGTTTGTTGTTGTCACAGTCCGAAAACGAAAATGTCTTGGGGGATGTGTAAAAACCTGTTCGAGTGTGACTTCACGCAGAAGCTCATCAAAAAATAAATACTCGTACAATCGAATACTACAAGTATAAATGCTCATTAAATAAGCGTCTTACTTCTTATCGATCGACTCCAGGCGATTACGTTGGTCTTCATCCAAGGTCGCCAGCACGCCAACACGGTCGTGCAAATTGCTCAGCAAATCCTTGTACTCGCAGTGCGAGGACGCTGGACCGGTCTGTGGACGCTAGAATCAAAGGGAAGTCCACAAATAAATGGGAATTATTAAGCAGGAAAAAGATGAAAGCAACGCAGGTGTGGTTTTGGCGAGGACAGGCGCATTGAACTTTTCGATTGAAAACAAGTCTTTTAAGAAGACATTTGCATTTGAGCTGAGAATGTGACACATACGCGATAATTTGACGCACGTGCATTCCCAAGGCTTCTTCTCGCCGTGGGCGGGGGAGGCGGCACTGTTGGTAGCTCCCCGATCTCGGCCCTCGATTGGGCGCCACATAAGACAACAATGATTGCCACAATTATGGCAACGACCAAGTGGCTGCCTAAGTGTGGCGACCCCATTATTGCAAGCTTTGTTTGCTTTTCGATCCGCTGATGTCGACACTCAAATGAATCAAATAATTTGAAACGACACTGCACGCGCCCGCTATTATTCAATATCAATCAAAAAATTGTTTAAACATTCGATCACACTGCGAACAATTGCACAGGCGGCCGAGTAGCGCGAGATTCTCGAGAAGACTGAAGACTGGCAGCCGCAGCGAGCTCTCTAGAGGCTGCGGCGTCGTCCGGAGACAACTGAGCGCCACGTCAAGAGTCATCGCTCTGAGCAGCATTTTATTTTTGGTATAAATATACTTGTGTGTGTGTATTTCTTTAGCTCTACAGTCAAGTCGTGTTTCTGCTTATCTCTTTGTGTTGTTGCTGGCTTAAAACAAAATCCCCGCTTTGTCTAAATCTAAAACGGGGTTCATGAACTGCCTTCACGCAGGCATGTGCAAAAACATGAATTAGTTGCGAAAGGGAACATCTTTTGACCTATTTGTGTGGGCATTTCTGTTGCTTCAGTTCGAACTGAAGCCTCATGGAAATGATATGACACACATGGTAATACATTAGCTCGGCTCATTTGGAATTCATAGACGGTAACCTGCCTCAATGTTTCATGCAAAAGCCTGCCATGCTACACTTGAAAAAAAGAAGTAAGATACTTTTAAAGCTCATTAGTAATTACTTCTTTACTTTACTACTTGATTAAATAAGCTATTTTTTGCTTTCTTCTGCCATCATTCTGTCGGTCTGTTTGAGCATCTGAACGACAGTTTTCATTGTATTTTGGAAGCTGGCTCCAACGTATTTTAAATTTTAATTCTTCTATTATCTAGGCATATTAAGTTTATGTTACGACGACTAATTCTCAGGAAAATATTCAAGAAACGGCGATTTTCTAGCTAAGAATCAGTGGAATTGTAAGTAAATCAATTACATTTTGTTTTTCTCTGTCCAGCCATCATTCTATCAGTCTGTGTATGGATTTAAACACCATTTGGCCAGTTTTTCAGCATATTCTTCTCTCATCTCAATGTTAGAAAATCAATTGTTCCCTTCCAATATTATTTCACTTTTATTAGATTATTTTTTTCGATATTCCTTCTTGTTTCTTGAAAATCATTTTGGTTGGTTTTTCTGAGTGCATCCATTTTGTACACCAAATACATACGTAAGTATTTATTATTGTTTGCTGCCGCGCCCGATAAGGAAGGCCGGGGGTTTCTTCAGAGCCGTGAGATGTGCATGAGTAAGCGACCAACCTCAAGCTTCACGTTTATGGCATAATTAACATTCATTAAGACGTGCTGTAACCATTTAAACAATGTGTGTTTTCCAAACGTACGATTATTTATATTTAGAACTGAAGCGCGTCCATATATCAGTATGTCTACTATATAGCAAGATGTCTAGGTAAGGCGGCAAGTCAGCCTTTTGTAGCAATGGCTTTATCGTGGAGACTCATGAATGAAATTGCTGGCGGTCTCAGTGACTGGCTGTTCCGTGTTGTGTCATTTTTGTTAAGGCTCGGTCGTCATTGCATTACTTGAACAGCAATTGCCGGACCTTTTACCTTTTCAACTTGTGCAGCAGCTGCCTTCGTGGCCTTCTCGGCATCTCCGGAGTCTCGAAACGTGCAGATATTCAACGACAGATAGCCCAAACAGACGCCCATCTGACTATTTACAGAAAGATGAATTGGCATGACGATGACGTAAGCTGACAAGCAGTCGCCAGAGTTACAAAAAAAGTACACATACTATATACACGTCTTATACACATACATCCTATATACACGTAGATATACAAATTTCGTCACACAAACAAAATAGTGTTTGGCCCAAAAACTTGTGTCATTTGTTTGTAATTTGTTGTTATTTACAATGTAATCCCAACATGCAGGCAATGTAGCATATATTGTCATTAATTTATTTTGTGATTATTTTTTGAATTGCGTTTGCTTTCTAGGCCTTTCAATTCAGACTCTCTTCATATAATTCAAGGTCTGCCATTTCAATCATTGACAAAAATCAAGTAGATATGCTTTATACAATATGTACGTAGCATTTCGTTGTCATATTACATTTTATTTTTTTAAATGATGATGATGAGCATTTGTACAATTGTGTGTGTGTTTCGTCTCATTTTATCTCCATTATGCTTTATTTCAAATATAGAATGAATGAACAAATTACTCGTGTAACATAAAAAACTTTATTTCGAATATGAATGTACTAGTATTTCAAAATCATGATTTATTATTTTAATTGCGCAGAAATGTCTTTATGCCTGCGAACGAACAGCTTCCTCTGTGGATGTTAAAATCGGGAAAATAATAATCATATAAAACTCCATCTTTTTCAATAAAGGTTTCAAATAATAGTTTAAATATTCAACAAAAAATGTTATGAAGTAATTTTTCCTTCTTAAACCAAAGCAAAGAGCCTTACAAGTTTTTTGACAACATGTGCTTTGGGGCATTCAATTTGCAATTCATTCTACAGTGGTATTATCAACAATAGATAGTTCATTTAAGGTCTAAGGGATATCTCCTTATGTGTTTTTTTACATCATCTCGTTCGACACATTATCTGTGCTTTAATAAAACCATCTACAAATCTGCAAATTGATGATTTGCATCCCACATTTGGATACTTTGATTTATTATTTTTTTTTTTTTTTGTGTAATTTAATCATTTGCTTCTCTTTCGTAAAACATCTTTGCAGATTTTATTGTGATCGGTTCAGATTGTTCTTACATAGTTTCATCACAATAATTTAAAAGCTTCAAAAACTATTTTCAGATCAGCTCTAATATGGAAGTTTTTAGGCGTTTCGTCAAGTGTTCCTGCCATTATTCTTTGCCCTTAAGCCCTTAAACATTTCATATTAATATTTCTGGCTTTATTTTATTTTCGGCTTTTATTTCGTACTTGTATGTATTGTTCAGTTTTGAAAAACAAGAGGCGAATAAACTGTCATTTCAAATACAAAAAGTGCCTAAAAGTATGTAAGTAGATAAGTTGATATTGGAGGCCGCAGCGCCACCTGTTTTTTTTTTTTTTGATTTAAACGCTTTGCGAAGCTTTTTCTGTAAGCTTTATACTCATCTGTGTCTGCGACTCACTGTGAATGCGATCAGCTGTTCTGCGGCCAATGGACGCTTCATTATTGCTGTCACGTACAAGTCCGGTTGAGTGAGTGTTTTCCGAATTTTCGCTGTTTTCTTTACTTTCGGTCGCCTTTATGAATGAAAGTCAAAACGCGGCACCCAGAATTTACAGTTAAAATGTTCGCCGAGAACGTCTACTGTGAGCTAAACCTTTACCACAAAGGTCTTCGAGTCGCACTTGGTAAATAAAGCACAAAAAAGCCCGACAAACATAAACACATATGTACATACATCCGCCAAACTCACTCAAAATAATTAAATAAATATAGAAAATACGTTAAACCTTGAAATGAAGCTGAACCATTGAGCTAAGAAAGCCTTTAAAGTTTAAAGCTTAAATTATTTTTGAATGTTTGCCCTAAAGCAATGACAATAGCAGAGAAATTACACTTCACTTTCCTCCTCTTCCTTATCTGCCAGTTCAGTTCTCTGTTTCTGTGTCCTGGCACCCACTGTACTAACACTGACCTGTTGGGGCTTATGAGAGTCACTGATGAGAGGCTTCAGTTAAAAGCAGGTGAGAAAAATCATTCTACTTTAAACATAAGGCCAAATTTTCTTGTAGTTTACAAGAATTGAAAAGTTAAGCCGTTAAGGGGCAGTATCCCCGAAAATTAGTTTGCGATGAAAAACAACGCCAAGAAATATTTTGAACGTTAATAAGCCTGTTTGAATTAGAGGTGGAGAACTATCGCTGGTTGGTTTTAAAAGAAAGTTGAATGCTGAGCAATCAGTGTTTCTTAAAACCGAGTTAGTAACTTTATCTCATCAAAAAACTGCAATCCAATATTAATATCACAGTTGAAAACAAAAGTGGCGAAAGAATATTTCTGGATTTTGTGGAAGAAAAGACAATGGAAAATATAACTACCGCAAGTGCTCTGGATAAAAGTAAGATTCAAATATTTAATGTTGGTTATACAATTAAATATATACAGATCATATTTACAAATTTCAGGTGAACAAGGCTGACTTTGATTAAATAAAGTTGTAGTGTACAAATAACTTCAGAACGCCTATTAAAGCTGGGAAAAATTGATCAGTCACGACGCGTTAAGTTATGGCCCCTTAACACAATATATAATGCCGTGTATCTAAACATATTTTCTTTATTAAATATGTATCGATGGCATTCAAAAAAATATTGTTGACTATCGGTATTTCTCCACATCTACTTTCTTATAAGCCTAAGGCAGTGCAGGCGTAATAGACAGGCTTCAATCTCGTCGGCAAGTGGGATTTGGTTAGGGTTTGGTTACCGCTTCGCCTAAAAATTAGAAAATTCGCGTGCTGTTTTGAAAACGTCAAAAGAAGAATCAAAGGTCTGTTTGAGGGCTCAACAAAAACAGGTACAAAAAGGGAAGTAATAGATTGAAGAAAAAAATAATAATAATAATTATTATGAATAAAATAATAATTATAGGCAACACGTGCGCGCTAAGGTTGTGATAAGTTATTGTGAACAAAGACTTTTAAAACTGTATTAAGCGATTCGGCGTATGGGAAATATTCGAAAGTACGCTAAGGGTAATGGTGTCCTTGGGTCTGAATGGAAACCGATCTTGGTATCGAATAAAAACCGCACACATTTAATATAATATTTCTTTCTTATATATATTTCTCCCGATCTAAGCCTATAACCCTAGGCTTAAGCAATTTGGCCAAAAAAATTCGTTAGATTTCACGTTATAGAAAAGTATAAAGTGAATTGAAAAATAGGTAGAATTTGACAAAACAAGAAAATTAATTCCTTCGTTGCCTTTGGTGATTCTGTGGAATGCGTAATAATGGATAACTCATTGGATTAAAATGCAATACTTAAACAATAGTTTGCTACAAACATAAAGGTTGTACTGTCGCTCAATTGGAGCCAACAATTGAAAAATAATGAGAGGAGGTATTTGATCCTGCGGTCTTATATAAAGCTCATATCTAAAACAAAGTATTTTATTAGGCAACCGCATAAATACATATGTATGTACGAGTATATGCTTCCATGTGTATGTACGTGTATGTTGAACTGCAATAAAAAACTCGATAATTTAAATTTAAGGCTGTAGAGAACTGGCTGAAGCAGAATTCTTTGAAATTAATTTAAAAAACACACGGCTTTTAACGCTTTTGGTTTTACGCCCGGCACGCCTGTTGTTGTTGCTACTTACTTGTTGTTGTCCGCATTATGTTAACAAGGCTATCAGTCGGTCAAAAACGAGTTAATGAAATTAATCAAAGGCCCGTGTCGAGTTGGCACGTTGCCAAGTCTGTGAGACTGGTCGACGTCTCTCTTTTTGCATCCAATTTAAAAATTAAAAATAAAAATAATTTGCGGCTACCACATCTTGTTTATAATCGTTTTATTTTTCTAGTTCTATATATACAACTTAAAAAAGTAAACTATGAGTATTATTTTTACATTAGCGATATTTCACAAGCCCGATTCTCAACAATCCCCAGCAACGAGCTCAGCCTTTGTTCCAATTCAAATAAATGTCAAATCCGCTTGCAGGTTTTCTTGTTGTTGTCGGTGATTGCGTGGATGGCCTTTTTATTGTTGTTGTTTTGGGACCGTTCTGTCCGAACCCGTAGGAATAAACGGTTTTGCTGCCACTTAGGGCATTATTTTGCTTAAACTTATCGTAATACGGACTCGTTATGACGGGCTTGCGGCTATTGGTGGAAGAGGCAATATTTTCATCGAACTGAGCTCTGAATTTATCGAAGAAGGGATGATCGAAAGGGCTGGCAGTGCTGTTTCTAATGTTTGTAGGGCTACGTGTGGTTGTTGTACTTTTTCTCGTTGTTGTTGTTGTTTTTGTCTTGGCGTCAAAGAGATATGGCTTCGGAGTTGTTGAGGGTCGTGGGCGGGGCGTCGTACTCGGTAGCTTATATTGAACGGTTGATTTCCTGGGAGTCGTTGTTGTTGTTAAACGAGGAGTAGTGGACACATAATAAGATGGGTAACGAGTAGTCTTCTTGGGTGTTGTTGAATACCAAGCGGCTGTCGGCGGTCGTGGAGTTGTAGCCGGCGAACGAGTTGTTGATTTCGTTGCTAAAGTAGAGCGTGCTGTTTGCGAACGAGTTGTTTGTCTCGTTGTTCCTGGGAAGCGAGTTGTTTGTCTCGTTGTTATTGGCGATCGAGTTGTTTGCCTCGTTGTTGTTTTTTGGTGAGTAGTTGGTCTCACTGTTGTTGTTGTTGGGCGAGCTGCTTGTCTCGTTGTTGTTGGTGATCGAGTTGTTTGTCTCGTTGTTGATGGTGAACGAGTTGATAGCCTCGTTGTTGTTGCTGACGTGCGAGTATATTGCTTAGTTGTGCTCGGGTAGCGAGTTGTAGGCCTAGTCGTAGTTGGCGAGGAGCGGGTTGTTTGTCTCAAAGCTGTCGGGCGCACTGTAGTTCTAGTTGTTGTTGAGGGACGGGTCGTTGTTTTTAGCGAGTTTTTAGTGGTTGGCGCCTGCCATTGCCAACTGAAAGGTTTTCTAGTTGTAGTTGTTGTAGTAAAAGGACGTTTTGTCGTTGTTGTAGTTGAAGTTGTTGCTGTGAACTTGATTACCTCATTACGAAAACTGTCGCTGCTTACATATGGCCTTTTATAGTGTTGTGGAGATAATGTTGGTTGAACTGGTTTTGTACCTTGTATTGGTGTTCCAAATTCCTTTTCAATAGGCCGACTAACTTTGTCTGGCTTATTGTTTTTAAAAGTATGGGTAGGTTTGGGGGAAGTTTTCAAAGAACTTCCTTGTGCCGCTGATATATAACCTTGTAAAAAAGGATTGTCCAAGTAGTTGGGCTTTGAAACCGACTCAGACGTCTGTGAAAATGAGTGGACATTAACGTTGGTAGGTCTCTTAGTAGCTGGAACTGTGTTTTTTATACCGTCTAGCTTGATAAGCGGCTGGAGGAACGGATTATCCGCATAGGGATGGTTAGCTGCGATTTTTACTGGATGTTGAATCTTCAATTGTGGCTTCTGAGTCGTTGTCTGCGGTTTCTCTGCATAATGAATTGGTTGGCTTTCTTTGATTTCATTGCCTGAAAAGCAGTCACTTAACTGGGCCAAGGATTGATGGCGACAGTGTCCATTGTAGACTGTCCAGGCTGTAAACCCATCTCCTGACAAACGAGTATGTTCTTCATATATAGTCCTTACACATTGAATATCATCGCTAATATCCGAGTCTAAAAGTTTGTCGCACGATATGTGACAAGCCTTCCCTCCGCCCAGATCGTGAGAACACCAGTATAGATCGCTTATTTGAAAGAGACCATGGTCCGCACTACCATCAGTGTTAAGGCGTCCCACAGCAGCGGTGTTGTAGGAGGACTCGTGTTGGGCAATGCATACCCATGTAGGGATCTCTTGCATTGGCATCTTGTGTTTAAAGTACAGCTCCTGGGCCAGTTCGCAGCGTTTGTACACCTTACCCTTGGGTTTGGAATGTCCAACGGCCTGAGGAGAGCGAATTACGCTGTTACTTGAGGATGGTCTTACTTCTTCCTTGGCCAACACATTTTTATCGAAACAGTCAGCAATTTCTGATTTGCTTCTCTTCCGGCAGTGTCCATTATACACGGTCCAGGCAGTGAATCCATCGCCTGAGATCCGTGTATGTTCTTCATATATTGTTTTTACACATTGCACATCATCGCTTATATCCGAGTCGAGAAGTTTGTCGCACGATATGTGACATGCCTTTCCTCCGCCCAGATCGTGAGAGCACCAGTATAAGTCGCTTATTTGAAAGAGACCATGGTCCGCACTGCCATCGGTGTTAAGGCGACCCACAGCGGCGGTGTTAAAGGAAGACTCGTGCTGGGCAATGCACACCCAGGTTGGGATCTCCTGCATTGGAATCTTGTGCTTAAAGTACAGCTCTTGGGCCAACTCGCACCGTTTGTAAATTTTACCTTTAGGTTTCGCATGGGACGCAGCCTGAGGAGTGCGAGTTAAGCTGTTACTTGAGGATGGTCTTTCTTCTTCCTTCGCGAATATATCTTTATTAAAGCACTCAGCAATTTCTGACTTACTCTTTTGCCTGCAGTGCCCATTGTAGACTGTCCAGGCTGTAAACCCATCTCCTGATAAACGAGTATGTTCTTCATATATAGTTTTTATACATTGCACATCATCGCTAATATCCGAGTCGAGGAGTTTGTCGCACGATATGTGACATGCCTTTCCTCCGGCCAGATCGTGAGAGCACCAGTATAAGTCGCTTATTTGAAAGAGACCATGGTCCGCACTGCCATCGGTGTTAAGGCGACCCACAGCGGCGGTGTTAAAGGAAGACTCGTGCTGGGCAATGCACACCCATGTAGGGATCTCCTGCATTGGAATCTTGTGCTTAAAGTACAGCTCTTGGGCCAACTCGCACCGTTTGTAAATTTTACCTTTAGGTTTCGCATGGGACACAGCCTGAGGAGTACGAGTTAAGCTGTTACTTGTGGACGGTCTGACTTCCTCCTTTGATAGCACATTTTTGTCAAAACAATCCGCAATTTCTGCTTTACTCCTCTGTCTGCAGTGCCCATTGTACACGGTCCAGGCAGTGAATCCGTCGCCTGATATCCGAGTGTGTTCTTCATGTATAGTTCTGATGCACTGAACATCATCGCTAATATCCGAGTCCAACAGTCTATCACATGCTATTTGACAACCCTTGCCGCCCGGCGCATCATGTGTGCACCAGTATAAGTCGCTGATCTGAAAAAGTCCGTGATCCGCACTGCCATCAGTATTGAGACGCCCCACCGCCGACGTATCGAAACGCGACTCATGCTCGGCGATGCACACCCACGTAGCTATGTCCTGCATGGGAAATTTGTGTGAAAAAAACAGTTCTTGGGCTAATTCGCAACGTGTGTAAACTTTACCCGAACGCGAAGGTGTTGGACGTTGGTAGTGGTTGTATAGGTGTTGTGGTTGTTGCTGTGGTGTTGTGTAGGTGTTGGTGTAGAACGGTGTTTGCTGCTTGTATTTTTGGAAAGGATTTGCGAGCGAGAAATGTGACTGCGCTTTCTGGGGCACATTTATTGCATTGGGGTGCGGCTGGGCCTGTGCTGATATGTGCGGACGCAGGAAGGGGTTGCTAAGATAGCTGGACGGAAGCTGTGAGCTTACCACAGTCGTGGGCCTGTAATAGCCACTTGAGAGGGTAGTCTTTTGTGGTTGCACATAGCTAGTCTTTGACACAACAGCACCGCCTCCAATTGCATTCGGATGATGTGGTGCGGCCGCTTGCGGCTTGGCGAAGCAAGCTGCTACTTGCTCGTACCGCTGATTGCGACAATTTCTGTTGTACACAGTCCAGGCGGTGAAGCCATCTCCCGAAATCTGCGTATGCTCCTGATGAATGCGTTTAATGCATTGCACATCGTCTGCAATGTTCTTGTCAAGCAGCTTGTCGCAGGATATGCGACAGCCCTTGCCCCCGCGCGCATCGTGTGTGCACCAAAACAGATCACTGATCTGAAATAGTCCGTGATCTGCACTGCCGTCGGTGTTAAGGCGTCCCACAGCAGCGGTGTTGAAGGAGGACTCGTGTTGGGCAATGCACACCCACGTAGGGATCTGTTGCATAGGCATCTTATGGTTATAGTACAACTCCTGGGCCAGTTCACAGCGGTTGTAGATCTTGCTCTGCACCTGGGCTCCGCTGTTCCTCACGGGCTGATAGCTCACGGGCTGATAGCTAGCGGGCTGGTAGCTCACGGGCTGATAGCTCACGGGTTGATGGGAGGCAGCTGCGATCAAGGCAGAGCCAGCACTGAAACCAGCTCCGAGGCCGCCACAGCCCGCGACATAGGAGGCAGCATCATGTCGACAATATTGCTCATATGCCTGCCAAGCAGTGAAGCCATCGCCCGATATACGCTGGTGCTCCGCAAAGATTTTCCGCACGCACTGCACATCATCGCTGATGTCGTCGTCCCGCAAGCGCGCACAGCTTACACCACAACCCGCACCTTGACCGGGCGGAGAGCACCAGTAGACGTCGCTGATCTGAAAGAGGCCGTGCGAGCCGCCACCTGGCCCGCTGCCTCCTCCAAAGGTCGCAGTGTTCAGCGAGCTCGAGTGCTGCGCTATGCAGACCAAGGTGGCTGCCTGAGAGGCGGGCATGCCGAACTGGCGTTGGAGCAGCTGCGACAGCTCACAACGGTCGAAGACCTTGCCCGCAGAGAAGGAGAGCTGCAGGAGCAATAAAAGCAGCAGGAGCGGAAGCATTGGTAGTCCAGATCGCGACATGTTGTAAGGTGACGCGGGAACAACTGACACCGAAGCGAGCGCGATGTGGCGTTTTTATAGAGTTGGGGCAGCGATTGGGACAGGCCTATTTAAAATTTAAATTTCAAACACTCTATGCTCTTATATTTTATCGCTGGTTATTAATAATGTTGGAGTTGTTGAAGCGTCGATGTGCGCGACTTTTGCCGCCCGTCTCTTAAGTGCGTGCGTTTGCGCGTTTCGTCGTTGACTGAACAGGCACGCGCAGCTCATCTTTAGCCCAACTCGGGGCTCGCAATCATTTGAATATGATGGGGACGGAGACAACCGACGGCAGACAGCAGCCAACAGACAACAGAAAACAGACGTCGCGACAAACTGGTTGGCTCTCGACGCGTTTGCTGTGATTGTATTGCATAATTATTGGATGGGTTCAGAGCCAAAAGTTCTGGTCAAGCCGAAGACGAAAAGTCGTTAGCCCATGACCGTTATGCGAAAGTTGAGAGCATTAGCGACAGCGAAAATTCACTTTACGCCGTTGCTTAGGCTGGCATCAAAATTAATTTCCGATATTTATTAGCAAGCGCGACAAATCCCAAGCCATAAATTTCGTAGATACCCCTAGAAGTTCACAAACTGGTTGATCAAGCGCACGTTTTTCGATGCGCTTATCTAGTGAGAGGGGCAGGGTATGGGAATGTTAAACTATTGACAGACGAGCCACCAGTCCATCGGTTACGCAGTCAATCAAAAAAATAGTGGCCCCACCTCATATGACGTTTCATGCTAGCGGCTGGAAATCAAACAACTTGGCTCTTTGTTTATCATTGCAGCTTGTGTTGTTGTTGTTGATGCTATTTGTTAATATATATTCCTCTTTATCTGTTTATCTCTATTATCGAGCAGCTTGTTTTGTTTTGCAACTCTATTTAAACTAAGACTTAACATACATTTCCGTGTAATTTGTTTGCCTCCAGGTTACTTTATATCTTGATTGATTAATTTAATGATGGGTTGATGGGTTGATGGCTTCATGTCAATATTTTCGACTAAGCTGATCTTCAACTTAGTAGCTGCACAGATCAGTCGAATGTATTGTTTGATTTTTGCAGCTCAATTTAAACTAACACCTACTTTATATTTTCGTATAATGTGCCTTACTTGGACGATGTGTATTGAGGGATTAATTTAATGATGGGTTGATTGCTTGATTTTGCGACTTGTGCTGATCTGATCTTGAACTTGCCTGCCGCATAGATCAGTCAAAAATGCATTGTTTAATCTATAATTTCGTATAATTTGCCAAGCAGGCTTACAAAATTTAATTGATGCTAGAATGGCTTATATGTTCGAATCACTCTTTACTGATCTTGAACTTGGCAGCTGCACAGATCAAGACGCAATTCGAATAAATTGCGGTCAAGCGCCTAAATGCGACTAATTTAATTTAAATATTTGTGGCTTCTGTCACTTAGTTTTATTTATTTGCCGTAGAAATGTTTGTCAAATTAATTCCTTTGAATTCCACTTAAACCGTCTGATTCAGAGATGATTGAATTCGAAAACAAAAAACAACTTGCTACATTCTTTTCGTTTTGATTTTTATTTAAGAGTTTTTAGTTTATATAGATTTTAGTAAACGCTAAATCACAATACAATAAAATCACATTTACAAAATAAATTATATACAAAATTCGTCGTACACTGAGAGAGACACTGAGACGTTTTAGAACCAAGTTACATACTTCAATATACACACATAAGCATAATATAATATACATTTATATTAATAATAACAATACGAGTAAGCAGGTAATAGATTAGAAATTCAGGAGCCTTCAGGAACTCTCTACTTGACGGGCGCTTCCTGCGGTCGACTGCGTTGCATCGCAAAGTAGAGCAGGCAAACGGCTGCCACGCCCACTCCACCGCACAGCGCCGCCCAATGCACAATGTCCAGGGTCTTGAGTGTGTTGAGGAGCTTCTTCTTGAAGAAGGCCACCATCTCATTGTTCAGTTCAATGCCCTGCAAAAATATTTAAGACATTGTATATTGACCATCGCATTTCAATATTCGAATCACTGACCTCCTCCACCCAGATGGCGGGCATCAGCACCGTCGTCAGATTCTCGGTTATGGTTATGCGATTGATGCTCTTGAGGAACATGTTGAACTGCACCCGCTTGCCTCCCTGCAGTGGAGTGCCCGTCAACTGTAAATTGGTTTTACGGCCGCTTAATGATTATTGATGCGACAATCGACAATTGCGACTACTTACCGACTGCACGTCCACAAAGGTCTGATGCTTCTTGGCGTCGGGCTTGAGTCCGCGAATCATTTTCGTGTACTCGTTGGAGGCGCCAAGCATGTGCGGCAGCGTCAGAATGACGGGCGCGTCTGTGAATTATACTTACATAAGATACTTGCATACATGTTTTGGAGGTAATAATAAATAATTGTCTGGTATTTCGGGTGATTAGGAGGGAGTATTGCTCGACTAATTACCATTCATTAAAATGTTGGAGACCCAATTTAGAGAAGAGTTATTTATTTTAAATGGAAATGGAGATTAAGTTGGATTATAAAAGCAAATATTTTGTAATCTCTTAGTTATTATATTTAACTGTTTAAAATACCAAACCCATACTGGGTTAGTGGGATATCCCTCAATAAATGCTACTTCTAGGAAGGAAAAACACATCGCAATAAGAAGAGTTAAGAGTGAACAAAAGCTGCTTATCATGAAACAATATAAAATATTCAGCAATATGTGATAACAAATCTGACATCCTACATATTTTCAACAGAATAGGATATGGTATTAAAAAATTGCCTTAGAAAATCTATAATCTATAATCTGTAAATTTAAAATTTGTATAAATAAATACTCATAGGTGTAATCACGAGCTTCGTAGACATAACTCTCTTACATGTATAATGATATTAGTTACTCATATAACTTGTCGTTAATAGATTAAATATTTGTAGAAAAGTATCTTTAATTTGTTCTTAAATAACATGTTCATATCATAAATATAAATATTAGAATTCTGCTATTTGCAGATCTCTTCCACATAGATACTAGCCGGAAAGACCTGCAGCACACTCTTATATTTAGGTTTGGCCTTGAATTTACAAAAACATTGTTATTTGCTGTCTTAAAAACTCGTAACAACTCAATTGACAATTACTGCTTTACAAGAAGGTAAAACAGTAAGCGGAAGTTGAGGCTACGCTCACGTTTCCAATTGAAGCACGAAACGAATTCCACACAACAGCTCAATATAAATATTTGTTCATTTACTCGTATTTACTTTCGATTTCTTTGGGCTCATCATCTCTGAACCAATTCTTAAAGATTTCCTGCTTTTCAGCAAACATTCAGAACAAACATTTCTCAAGTGGTGCTTGTTATAGAAAAATGTAAAGGCACGCTCGACCAATTAGGCAGTACAAAATTCTCGACTGAAGCGTGCGCGGTTGGCAAATAATTCAAATAAAATAAATAAATTGAAATAAATAAAAATCAAGTTTCTACTAAAATATACGAAGCGTACGCTCAGTAATTGACAGCACCATAATGACAATGACGATGATCATCATTATTATCGAATATTAGAAGCATTCTAATAACCACTTAAAAGGCCGTAAAAATAGTTAAAGAGAATGTGCCAAACACTTTTAATTTCAAATGCCGAGCACACAACTTTGTTGGTATTTTATTTTTTATAGTGTGTCAGCAATTATTGCAAGTGTTAATTAAGAAGTTAAGAGCAACAAAAAGATCAAAAGATACAATTCTCAGCAGCCACACACGTTGCCAGCGGCTATACGTGAATATTTTAATCTGAAGTTGATTCTGCGTATGCAAGAACTTTAAGAGGCACTTAAGCGATTTTTATTTTCGTATACGAATTTGATTAGCCGTCTGTTTAATGGGCCCCATTTGCTTCTTCAATTCGAATATATAAGTGAAGTACTAACATCGATATATTGTCTTAACCAAATATTACTTTCGTCCCTCGTTGGATTAATCGGATTTTTATTTTCTTTTTATAGAAGTTTTGCTATGCTTCAAAATAATTTTATGTGCAAATAAATAAAAAATACATATTATCATAGCTGGCGTGCGATTTTGCAAACAAAATATAATGTGCTTTTTATTGGCTGTTGGAGATCGTGAGGGTTATGACAGTACTTGTATAATACAGGCTATCAGACTCACAGACAAGTATCGCTAAATTGGTGTATAATACTTGTACTTTATAGGAAACATATTTATAGAATCTATTTGTTCATCAATTATGATTTTTTTTTTCGGGGGCTACGTGAAATATTTTAATCTCTATATTATGATTACAATAACTTCCATTAATGTGTTATCAATTATCATAGATGTACTTCATATTTAAGCCGAGACTTTCAAACACGGACACTGCACAATTAATTAAAAAATGGCGTTTAAATTGCTGCTACAGCTTTGCAGCTTAATGACAGTTTTGTTCGAATTTGCGTTGATTTATAATGCTGTGCGTTCGGTAGAACAATAGAGCAATAATCATAATCACCTCACTAACACTACTACGACTACGACTACTGCTTATTGGCCACATGCTGTCATTTGCTGACACTAAAGAACTAACCCAGCTGGCTTTATCGAATTTCAAACAGCACCAAGCTGTCTTCGTTTCCAAATTTGCATACTAAACATAATAAAAATCACAAGCGAAATGGACGTAAAGATTCTCTTCTGTAGATATCTCACAAAAATGTCAAAGGCATGTTTGGCGTTTCCGGTTTTTGGTTCATGTATTTTGCATATTTCAAATACTGGATACTAAACGAATTGTTCAAAATTGCAAAATCGAAAGTTGATAGCCCGTATAGACCTTTATGAGTATTTTTAGCTGTGACAAACTGGAGTAGATTGTCGATAGGGGCGGGCTAAATGGGGATTATGGACAGATCCAAATTAATGCACAGGCTAATGGCGCAAGTAGCTAATTAAATTGGGTTTTAATCGACTCTTGCGAAGAAACAAAAGCAACTGAATAATTAAAATGGAAGCAAGTCAGAAGACGTTAATGAGAGCTTTATAGATAAATAAATGGAATCAATAATTAATCGCGTTTATTGTTATTGAAATAAAACTATTTAAGTATGTTCTTAAAACACCTTTTGTCCTCTTTTTGTTAATTCAGGAACTAATTAACCCTATATACTGAATAATTGATACCTATATGTATATTTTTCTGTTGTAACTACATGTATACGATTTCGAATCACATAGATTTTTCTTGTTCTAGGAAAGCTCTAAAAAGATACTTGTATATAAAAACAGGCTAACATTAAAAAGTTCATACAAGCAGATGATCGATTAGATTAACAAACGTTGTCCTGAACAACTTTTTATTGGAGAATTATGTTGGAGAATATTTAAGTGCAATACATTCTTTGACTGTTTCTTCCAATGAAAGCTTTGTACATTATAGAGAAAGCAAATTGAAAATATAAAACAAACTTCATCACCCTTGTATAGACAGACGATAGAACAGATAACAACGATGGAAAGTAAAATATTTTATTAAAAGAAATTATATTTCGAAAATAATACATACAATAACAGAGTTAGTTGTTTCCTCTCTCTCTCTCTCTCTCTCTCTAATTGGTATTACTGAGAAGTAACCTTGATTGACAATACAAAAATGTAGTTAGATTACTTAAAGTAGCTTTGTTATTTAAAGATTTGCTGAAAACTAACAAAAATTGACTCTAATTTGAAACAAACAAATAAATTAGATCTTCTAGAGTGACAGCAGAGCAAAGTCTTATCATTAAATGATCAGTCAACAGAACTACAATTAAGCCCTAAACGCCTTTTTAAGCTGCTCAGCTTACAAATGACCAAGGTTACTGTACTGGTCAATATTTAAAAGCGTTATATAGATTAGATCTGAGACAACAGCTTATCACTCCATCTGACCTTAGTCCATTATGGCAGGTCTAGCTGGTTGTCTGGCTTCCTACTCACCCAAGCAGTTGGTCAGGTCCAAGGCGCCGGCATATAGACAGCCATTCTTGCGTTTGATCACATTCGTCAGCTTGTCGACGCAAAAGCATTCGTTGTCATGCTCCGGTCCTATATCATTGATGAAGTTCTCACCTATGGAGTACCTGAAGCCCGGAATACCCTGGTACTGTATGTCCGACTGATAGAACAGCTGCACCGAACGACAAATATCAGCGCTGAAAATATACATGGAGTCGCCCCTCTGTCGAAATGGTGGGTAGGAGGAGGCGTCTGTTCCATTGATCTGATTGCAGACCGAGGTATCGCCCTCGGCACTCGTGTTGAGCCACACTTGCAAATTGTGGGAATCGTCTAGCTTCTGTATCTCCAGCACCTTCATGGCATCTCCCTTGCCCGTGTGAACCTCATAGACCTCGCGGCCGGTGCCGTTTTTCTGTGAAGAAAATGGATCAGTGAACCGATTCCGAGTGTTGTTTGGATTGAAAGACTCACGTGACTGAAGAAAGAGAATGCCAAACTGCCATCGCTGAGCTCGCGTATCGTCTTCGAGCCGCTCTCCTTGATCTGATTGCAGATGGCCTTGGCAATGCCCTGTGGATTGATGCAGAACCGCACGCCATCGAACAGATACTCACGCACCGATGTGTGCACGAACATGGAGCGGGGATCGTTGAAGACGGCCTTCAGATTGGCATTCAGATGCACCAGCAGAAGCGCCAGGCCGGGATCGTTCTCGGATATTTGCAATACGGACTGCAACGAATGGAAACCAAAGGGGGGAGAGGCCTTGAGTAAGGAGAGCCGCTTAGATTAGAGGCGAGCATGCAGAGTTGGGCAAGCAGAGGCGTTAGCCATAACCAGTGGGTCGTTATATCTGTACAAAAGAAGCGTTAAAAGTGGGCGGGGCGAAACGGGGCGGAGTGGAGAGGTTTCAGCAAAGTTAGAAAGAAGCATAGGCCAGTTTGGTAGCATGTAGAGCTTACTCATTAATATTGTTAATCGCTTACAAATTAATGATAAATACTTTTGGATGGGTGCAAGCAAGCTTATGTATCTACATCAAGTAGTATGTTAAAGTCGCACAACACCGACTCTTGTATACCCTGCACCATTCACACATTTATTTCTTCTAAATACTTTTATGGCAACAGATTTTATGAACCATCCCGATATAGTATGACATTATATAAGATTACGAGGACCTTACTGGCGTAGAAAAAAAAATTATGGCTTGCGATAAACTTGGTTCGCGTATTGGTAAGACAAGTCTAGAAGCCAAGTTTGGTATCTTTTACTGTTATGACTCAAAAGATCTCGGCGTTCCTACAGACAAACATTTGGACAGATGGAAGGACGCGAAATCGAATAGGTTTATATAAATTATTTAGCTTAGGTTAGGTTGTTAGGTTTATATACATTTCGTCATGCTGGTCTTAAATATACGAGTATATGTAGTCTGCTACACAGATGCACACTTCTTAGTTAGCCTGTCGGGTACAGGGTATACGAGTAGAAACCAACCAACGAACGAACAAACGCACGGCAGCCGCTCTGACTGACAGGCGGTCGTAATCAATCTCCGAGCCGAGCGCGTTGTCGTGTCAGTTTTCTGTTTTCAGTATTTAGTTTTGAAATTCAATTTATCAAAATATTTACATTCGAGAATTTTAACACTGCCGATTGTGAAGGTTGCTGCCAATCAACGTCGTTGCTGTTGTTAGTGAACTTGAGTTTAATGAGCAAATTGGAAATTAATTGCTATTTGTATAGGAGTGTGTCCGAACGACAGTTTTTAACTTACTTTGACATCTTCAATAATGTTGACAAAGATGCCGTAAGCCCAGCTAAAAGGCGCTATAATTATTACACATAGTATAGTACATAGTATTAGTTTCCATTGACGAATATTAATAGCATTTAAGCCTCAAATGCTGCTCGCCCGTCACTTTCAAGTCTCAAGTCGGATCTAAAAGTCAGACTCATGGAGGACAAGCAGCACTTGTAAGCTAAATGTTTCAATTAAGTTAGTTTAGCGCCTGTGGTTCTGTTCATTTATAGGATTCTTTTCTAACCCTGACCTACTATCACCTAATCATAGGTCAGAGTTCTTCAACGCATAACATCATCTGCCATCGTAATTACTTATAGCCTTATATCTTCCATGCCTGAAACAAAAGCGACCATTACCAACGTCTAGGGTAAAATAATAATCAAGTTAATAGCGATGGAATCGATATAAATGGTAGCAACAATGCATGCAACTGCATTTCATTAAAGAGTGAGTACAAAGTTAATACCCAAACCACACGTCGAGAAAACAGTGGAAGCTCGCTAAAATGTATCTCTGGGTTCAGTAATTTTTCTGCCTTTAGTATATCCTCAGTATTCAATTCGATAACTTTAAGAGTTTATGTGTTTTCATCGAAAAGGTATGAATTTAAATTTTAAAGTTGATATTTCTGGTTTGACTTTTTTAAGTCATTTGCTTTGATTATTATTAACAGATTATTAAAAAATGTTTAAAAGTAAATCAGAATATTTTTAAAATCTTAGCAGCGATAACTGAACGGCTCTTTCATGAGCTCTGTTGTTGACCTTTTAATATTAGCAAGTTGGATAATATTCAAAGAGTTTATTCAAACTGTTGACCAACATATTTCAAACTAGCTATTTAAAATACAAAAATCAATTTTAATTAGTAATCTGACGAATTATATTTAATTCCAAAGTATCTAGATAAGTAAATTGAAAGTACGATTATTTTGGGACACTTTGTGAAATATCAAAATAAATCGATAGAGCGTAAAAAATTTCCTTTAGGCAAAAAACTTCCTTCAGTAACTAGTCAATGGCCTGGTAACAACGTCATAAAATACGATATCGAGTGTTTACTCTGGGGAAAATACATAATACGATCGAAAAGGCAGCATGTGTTGTTGTGGCTTGGTCTACGCAATAATAAACCTAAAAGCCATTACCGTTTACATGCCTTACATACTTATTTATATATATGTACATAGACCCGTATCTGCAGTTTAAGCATTCGATTCGTAAATAGAAACGATTCGGGTCAATGTGTAATTAGTTGGCCCAATCAACCCGAAACCGGAGCCCGGACCAAATCAACGGTGCGCAACACCATGCCCCGACCCCACCAAAGCATGCTTGGCTAGGTGTTTGTGTTTTAGTGGGTAGGGTCGGGACTCTTTAAAGCAAATGCATGTACTAGGTATATATTGGCGCTCTATAGAATTAGTAGTAAATAAAATTACTTTACGTTTCCCTCGAATGCGCTCCATCAAACGCTTTAAAATGCGTACGCCGGGCGTGCGATTCAGCCGCGAGTTCAATCTATTTGCAAAACCCTGAAAGATATCTGTGATTTCTCTTTCGAATACTTGTAAAAATGCCTGCAAGATGTGTCGAAAGGTTAGCGTTTAGATAAATATCCATATGGTCATATATAAATTGGTCTTCAAATAGCATATCTCGTTTGCGACTACTGCTACTCACGTTCATGTGCATGTTGAGCGCCACAATCCGGTCGTTTTGTGTGTAGGGTGCCGAGGCATCTGCATCGAAGTCGAAATGCACATTCTGGACATAGGAGATCTTCGATCCGTCACGCGAGAAGTGCTTGACTTTCTTGCGGCGATATTGTCTGGAAAAGAGTTCAAATTATGTGGTGCGTGGCAAAAGCCAAATGAGCGTCACTTACTTGTAGACATACGGACCGATTTCCTTGACTATGGGTATGGCACCTCGTTGTACCATGTCCGGGTTCGTTACATTGAAAATGAAAACCTTAAAAACGAGTGGTTGGGGTAGATTGACGAAGCGTTTGTATTGCTCTGAGCCATCCGCAATGATAACACTCTGTTGCGAAAAGAAAGAAATATAATTAACAACCATTGCCATTCTAATAATAAATGTATTTAAGTAGCAAAAATTTAAACGATTTTCGACATTCATCGGTTCAATCAGACTGATTTGTAAAAGCTGATGTTTGGTCTGATTTCTCAAATATTCTTATTTCTTAATCGATCAATTCCTTCCTTTTTAAAACAATATATGCATTTCTAACTCTCTAGCTGCTCAAAGTTATTTATTGTTAAAACGATAAAAAGAAGAATAAGATTTATAAAATGCATTGCAATATAATAGAAATTGTGTGCTTATTGTTACATATAGATATCTGAAAATATTTATCCTATGTACTTTCTTTAAATCCAACTATCTAAAATGTCTCTTGTTATAAAAATAAGATGGAACATTAAGAATCCGTTCTTTGTGACATGTGTATTCAAATCGGAAGGTATTCGTCTTCTCCAGCCACCTCTTTGTCTCTCTATTGCCTGAGGTTTTTCGAATCGTTTTCGTTTCGATCGACTCGGCACATTGAAAGTTGTCAAATTAGTCTTTCCCACTCAAATCCTATCACTATTTTCGAGTATATGTTCCCAAAGCAACATTAAAAAACAATGAGCAGCAATTTCGATTTAATGCCCTCGCAATTCTCGCCGGAGGGTCGCATCCACCAGGTCGAATATGCTGAAAAGGCGGCGCAGAAAAGTGGCACCGTCATCGGTCTACGAGGCAAGGACGGCGTGGTGTTGGCCGTGGAGAAACTCCTAACTAGTTCTCTATATGAACAGGACTCTGGCAGGCGTATTTTCACTATTAATGCGAACATTGGCATGGCGGTTGCAGGTTTGACAGCCGATGGCTTTGCTGTGGCCGAGAAAGCACGTCAAGAGGCCACCAATCACCATCTGCAATTTGGAAAGCCCATTACTATAAATCATATGTGCGACAGGATCGCGGCATATATGCACGCCTATACTGTGTTCTCTTCGACACGGCCGTTTGGTCTGACGGTGACGCTGGCAGGCTGGGACGAAATTGTCGGACCCCAGCTATTCAAAATTGATTCGTCGGGAGTAGCCGCTGGGTATCTTGCCTGCGCCAGCGGATTGGGTGAGCAGAAGGCAAGCCCCTTGATGAAAAAATACAAGTTCTCTGACATGCCACTTGATAGTTTGGTGCAGACTGCTGGTAGTCTGATCTATCAGGTGCATAACGAGTCTAGCGACAAGGATTTCTGCTTCGAAATGGGACTGGTGGGCAAGGATACTGATGGCTTGCATTGCATCAATCCTGATATATGGATCGCTTTGGCTGTGGAGTCCGGTTTACGAGCAAACAAGCCGGGATATTGCGGTTAATTCAAAATGCTTCGGCATAGACTTTAGTTGTTGAGCAAAGTAAAGCGTTTTCTAGTAGTTTAGGTTAATCATTTATAATATAGATATTGTTTAGAAGTGGTTGTTTATTACAGTAAAATAGAATTCGGTTCGTTTTTAGATGTGTAGATGCATCAGATTTTTTTGGCCGATTTAGTTTTGTTTTTTTTATTATTGGTCCTTTTTGAAAATTAGAGAAAAATGTCTTAAAAACCTGTAGAAAAACGAATTGTAAAAATAAATATTCCATTAACAACACTAACGCAATTTATATCTTGAATTAAAAAATGGCTTGTAAATGAATGTATCAGTATGTTTAAAAAAATAATAATTTTCCGATATTATTTTGTAAGGCCTTCCTAATTAAATTAAGATTTATTGCGAAATTGATTCCTACACGGTTTATCGCACCATCTAGAAATCTTATTTATGGCCATATAGATGCTGATGTTGCCATAAAAATCACATCAAGATCATCGACATGCTGGCGTCTACGAACCAGTTTTGGATATCAAAACATTTAGCAGCTCTTTGTTGCAGTTCGTATTTATTAATTGCCAAGACGCATTTTTATTTGGCTTACGATGCTTTCGACGTTTGTCATTTGAAGCTGCTCAAGCGTCAAGGGGCAATGACCAAAATGCTCAAAACAATAATAATTATGGCATTTAAATGTGTTTCAAGCCAAAACGAAAAAGCGTAAAAGTATTTTGTCCAAATTCAATTATTATTTGAGTTTTAATTGCAACTCAAAATTAACAGAATTCTTGGTCAAAGTCAGGCAGGAAATGCGCACAAAATTTGTAAGCAATGGGAATGGGAACTTGAAAGATTTGATTGCCGACAATCTCTGGACCTTGTCACAATTTCCACTTCAAACGAGCTGTAAAGTCACCAAAAAAAACCACGCAGAGCTCAAAACAGTAGCGCCCTCATAAAGATCTCTTCAAATACTATATATAGTATACACGATTGTGTTTACAATTCCCTCAAAGACGTAAAATTCGCAAAAACAAATAAAAACTTCAGCATGACCAGCAATATAAATTGAGATTCGTAGACAGTAGACAGAAATCATGTACTTGATACAATTGAAAAATTGTTCAAATCTCCGACCACATTTTCAAGGTCATTGCACACGCTTCGACGTCAACGTCGACATCCACATCGACGGCGACGGCGACAGCGCAGCCAACGCCAGCAGAGTGGAAGAGCGGAATACAAAACGTTTGATTAACCTTAAGAGGGCCAAGCGAAGAGAAAAAGACTAAACAAAAAACACATTGTCACTGGCCCAAAATTCATTCACAAACCAACACAAATAATGAAAATAATTATTGCGAAATAGACCAATTTAAACAATTTGTTGGCATTGTCGCTCTCGTCTCTGAATTGTGGCGGTGGCGGCGGCAACGACTAAAAGACACACGCAAACACTCGCACTTACACATTCAAAAACGAAAACGGCAACAAATCAAAGACAAAAAGTGAATTGAAAACGGCGTGCGCCAAACGTGACCAAAATGTCTGAATACAATAAATGAATGCAAATGCAGCATAAATATATGATATAAATAATAGTACGACAGACGCCATATCCGAGCCGCTTAGAATGTGACCAGTCAAAGGGGTCATCATGGCGTATGCGTAATTAATTACTCGACACAATTTTCTTTTTCGCATACCCTTCACTTTAATTTGTTGGTTATATCTTGAAAGCTTATTATGTGCGAAAGCAACGAAGATTTTATTTTATTAATATTGCAATTTGCAGATTGCGATGGAACGGCTAAAGAAATCGGTATCTGTCTGTTTTAATAAGTTTCCTAATAATAGGTACTAGAATTTCAGAATTCTAAAAATTGTTCTAACTTTAACAATTGCGGCCCGGACAGGTAAAGAAGACAACATCTGTTGAGCTAAAATAAGCAACGTTTAATTCAATTTTATCTGACCGAGATGGCCAATAGTTCCTCCAACGAATGACTTTTTATAGCCTCAATCAATCCATGTCGCCTTACCCAGACCGAATATTTGAGTTTCGGAAAACGGAAAATGAATCTGGAGCCTAATCTGGCGAATGCTTTGGCTATTTCGTGTTTGGCCATAAATTCATTTGCGATCAGGCTGGAAGTGAAATAAAAAACATGGATGTTTTCTTTCATATCCAAAACATCAACAGAAAGTGTTGAAACGATCCAAAGGAGATGTTGAGAGGGTTTTTTCTTTTTCTAATACCAAAATTGTGAGCACCAAGCAAACTTGTACAAAGCAAACTATGAGCAATTGAATTTATTAATTAATTTTCTTTTCATTTTATGGAAACCGAATTGATTTACATTGGATTTTATAGTTTGAAGCCTTTTTTATTCATAATTTGCATAGAAAAAGTAATATGTTTTATTTAATCTATTATTCAAATACGTTTTGATTTTATAACCAAAGGGTAAAAGTTTTACTCAAAGTATATATATAAAACGTGTGGAAAGAAATATAGCAGGCAGAAGAAAGAACCTCTGTAAGGTATCAGAGTTGTATTCTTAATTTAATTGACAAACTTGGTTTGAAGACTGTGGATATAGATAAGCATATTTGTATACCCTTCATGAAAAGAATAAGTGTATATTGGTTTTTGTGTGTACGTTTTCAATATCCATAATGAAGTATGGTAGTGCACAGATCATAGGTATATAATCAACCTAAGCTGCAATGCCTGCCTGTCCCTCCACCTGTCCGTTTGTCAGTTTCAATCAACACTTCTCCACAGTTATCATAGCTACCAGGTTAAAACTTTGCACATGTTTTTGTGTGGACCCAGATAATCTGTAATAAGCCGGCTATGTTAGTTCCCTTTTATATAAACAATATCACTTACAAATTAAATATTAACAATGATGTCATAGGTGTTACTTCATCCGTGGGTCACTAAAGTTGACCAGGGATGATCAGTAGGATTTTATAGCATTACATAATAAGTTATGGGTCAGTTTTGCAACGATTTAGAGCTAACGTATTCTCGTAAAATTTAATTTGCTGTATAGGTGTAGAAAAATATTTGGCGGTAATGCTGCGCAATTTCATTATTATTTCAAAAGAAAACGCATATCTATTCTACTCGTATAGTACACCGAAGAAGACATCTATGCTCCAAATGACTGGAATTCGTTGGGATTGTTTATGAAAACAAATCTCAATGGGAATCAAAAATAAAATACAAAAAACTGTACATGAGTTATTTGATCTTAAAATGTGAATACTTTGAAAGAAATATTTCAAATCCACTGACTATCAAGTTGTGTTCGCTAATTACTCGTCAAAGGTATTTAATATGAAAAACGGAACGTGTTGTGTCTAAAAAAAATTATAAATTTCTTGCGTGTAAACATTGCACAATAGTCATATGTTTTTCTTGGAAATTGAATTGTCTATTTGTTTACTTGGGCCGTCTTGGCATTTGAATTACAAATAGAAATGCTTGTGTGAGGGGCTTCAAAGTTGGCGCGTTTCAGGCGCGCTTTCGGCGCGTTTCGAAGGCGTTTTGTGGCTAGCGTGACATTCGGCGGGCGCCAGCACGTCTCAGTCAAAGGTTAAACAAGTGCTCAGCTTTTATGGGTCCCCAACTGCATTAAAATACAATTCTAGATCGCAGCTCAGCCCAACTCGCGGAAGTTCAGTGTTAACTTCAATGTAATGGCCCTTAAAAAAATGTCGAGTCGCAACTGACCTCCCTCATGGGTGCCCATACCATGTTTACGAGGGCTGACCGCAACGGGCAAGGCCTATATCGTGAGTATGCCTCAAATTGTTTGCAATTAAGTTACTTTGCTTTGCTGTGCTTCGGTTGGCCAATTAAAAAAGTCAACAGTCAACAGTTTCTGTTTGCATTCTAATTAAAAACGAATTTCAGTTAAGTTCGTCCGAATGATGAGCATTGAATGGCAGGCAACCTTAAATTTAAACATTTGCCTTGGACAAACCTCACACGTTTTGTTTTTTGTTTTTATTTTGTTTAATTTTAGACACGCCCCCAGCCACTACCATACCCGCGCCCACGTCCTCTTCCTTCAAGGCAAAACTATTTATCAAAATTGTGCAGCCATAAATTGGGCCAAGAATTTTTTGGGCATTATTTTAGTCTAATGGCCGCGTGTGTCTGTCTGGTGTTGCATTTTAATTATGAAACCACTGCTGAATGGAAAATGCATTCTCGGGTCTGACCTGAAATTCATTTTTATTGTCTTGGCGCTGCATTTTAATTTCGGATTGGCATTCTTCAGTGTCTTTCGACTGTCCTAGAACGCTTACGATGACGAGTATTTATTGCCTTCGATTGCCAGCGCGACCCTGGACTGATTTTTGTTGTTATTTTTTCAAAAATTGTTATTGCATATTGTCGTGCCATGCATCTGTTATATCCATAGATGAGAATCGCCATCCCATGCATTTGCAAATCGCATGTGGGCTTTGTGTTTATTTAATTTAGTTCTGCTGCCTCATTGTTGTCATTATGATAATTATATGTGGGGTCAACTATGTGTTATTTCAAAACTAGATCGATGCGATTCAACACATGTTTCTGTCCGGTAACGACTCGTCATTGCCTGGTTAATGTAATGAGTTTCTAAATTATTGGATTGCAAGTGTGGGGCTCCATTAAAGACAAACTAAAAGGCAACCCCTAATGGTCATGTGAATAGGAACAGTATGTAAGTATATTACAATTATAAGTAGGCAAGTTTCCTGAGGATAAAAGTATGTACAGAAATACGGTTTTGCTATGTTCCTTAGATAACCTTGTTAATGATGTTGTTAACCTACCTAATGATTTAACAATACGTATACAAATTTGAATGTAATTTAAAGCAAAACCTACCATTAATTGATACTATTTTCTATATTTACTTGTAGCTTATATTTCTTATAAATATTATTAATGTCATTATATGTGAAAAGTATTTTTATAGCCACATCAAATTGATAATCACAAGTTCTTAGGACCATGTGTATGGAGTCTAGAATCCATATCAGTGCAGGCTATGTTAATCTATTTATAAATTTGATTTGTTTATTATAATTTTATAAGGAAATAGAATGTTGGTCAGCTTTCATTTTTGATCTTTAAAATCATTGAAAGATTATTTCATAAACATGATACGAATATAAAGAATTAAGTTTACGCATAATCTCGAATATAAGAACCGACTCTAGCTATTGAAATTTCTCTGTATTTGTTTTATGACGAAGAAACTAATGATCTTCCTATTCAGAGAATGACATCAGCATTAGACCGTAATCGTTTCCCCCTCAAGCGTAGGAATGTTTTAAATGTTGACTTAAGTTTTAGCTTTGAGGGTTCGGCAAAATTAGCGAATGTGTGTGATTATGAAAATGTTCTCAAATGAAGTAAACAGAAAACAGCATTGTTTGCAGCTAAGTACTTGTAATTGTTAAGTATTTGCAAGTTTTTTAGAAATTCTCACCAACATTATTCGCCTTTTAATGACTAATATGTTTCCGTGATCTCTAGTATCTCTTAGTGGGAATGAACAAATCTTTTTAGAAAGTGTAGGTTCTTTTTTTTTGTACGTTTACATAAAGAACATAGTAGATATTCTTTTATGCATTAAGAGTATAGTGAAAAGTATAATTTTCTTAAAAATTATTAAGTATTATAAATATGTTTTAAGAATTTGGATTGGACAATTTTAAATAATTTGAAATTCAGAACTTGTTGCATACTCCACAATTAAGTGGTGTGTCAATTCAGTTAAATAAAAAGAGAGGTGGATCGATATTTGGACCGAATGTTCCTCAAATATTTTTAAAAGCTTTACATTTTCAGCTTTACACTATTATCGAAATTCTTAATACCAATTTTGTTTTGAACCCATATATGAATTACCTCGACTGTTTTATATAGGTTGCTTATTAGTCTTTTTCTTTTCCCAAATTCAACTTCTTTGCTAAACTCTTTTTTAATTTGTTGTCTTACTATCGTTTATTATGGAATGTTTTATAATTGTAAATAAAAACGATTTTTATTATTATGAAAGGCTCTCAAAATAAAAGGTAAAAGGTATCCTTCTGATCTTCTTAGTAATAGCTTCTGAATACAACTATTTAATACATTCTCCTTTAATTTTTACTAAATGCCTCTTTTGAATGCAATATTTTAATATGAGTTAATTGTTGGAAAACTTTACTAGATAAAAAAGGCTTGAAGTAACAATAAAAGAATATAAAAAGGAAAAAGAAAAGAATTTAAATTGTAAAGAAGAAACCTAATTCATTATATCTATCACAATTATATTATAATTTCACACTTTTCACTCCGATTTTTTGAAAGAAATATTTTATAAAATATAAAAATATTTAAAACACGTTTTGCATTAAAATTTGTTCCCCAATGTATATTTAGAAATGACTTTGAACATGCTAGTACTATCCACGTTCACATCCACTCACCTGTTCAACCTTTTTGTGCACCATGGTGGGGAATAGAAACCAGCCACAATAGGCGCCAAGGACGGCAACGAGGGCGCCCAGAGCGCCAATGATAAGCGACCACTGCACCATTTTCTCGATTCGATTCGATTCCGATTCGAGCGAGCAGAAAGGGGCCAGAAATGAAGTTCCGCACTGTTCAGAGAAATGTGGGGGGAGTAGCCGGCAAAAATGTAACGCCCATTGGCCAATTTGTGTGCCGTTATGTGTGCAGTTGTGGGTCCGTTGATTGCGCCTCAAGTTCGGGTTCAATCAGCCCAAAGTTTGGGGCATATTTTGGTTTATTTATTTATTTATTCGTGGCTCGGTGCTGACCTACGCCAAGTTTTGAAGTGCGAGCCGCTTGTTGATGGCCGCAGCTCAGACTTTTTGGACAACAGCACGCTCTTGGTTGTTGTTGTATTGGAGTGTGTGTATATGTGTGTGCCAAACAATGCGCACTATTTATAAGATACTCGTTTTCTGGTTTTGTGTTGTTTTTTTTTTTCTTCTGCTGTTGTTATATTTTGAAATAAACAAGTTGGATGCGTTGGTTGTTGTATGTCGGTTAAGTTTTGTATATATAAAATATTATATTATGCCTTTTGGGTGTTGCTTTTTATTTTGTTTTAGTGTAAAAGCGCAAAAAACGGGTTTTGCTCAACCAACCGAAGTTGCAGTGAAAGCTTTTTTTCGCTTTTTTGCTCAGCTGTTGTTTAAAATATTTTCAAAATCAATTTAATTAGGTCGCAATGCCAAAATAAATTGCTTTATACCATAGATTTATTTCTCCTTCAATATTTTGGAAATTGCGGAGTTTTTTCTCTGCTTTTTATTTTCGCTTTCCGAGCAGCTCATCGAATTGCGCCGCGAACTCACTAAATGACTCGCCCAGGATAATTGCGGCACATTTTTATTTGCTTTGCGCGCACATCGAACCAAAAAGCCAAACTAAACTCGTAACCCAAAACAACGATCTTATCTAAGAGTGAGCCCGGGTGGGGATTTGGGAAGGGGGAGTACGAGTACGGAACTCGCTATATGGCGTGCGGCGCGCAGTGCGATAAAATCGGTTACGTTTATTACACTTTCCTCTGTGGCACCCGCGCACGCGAAATATATTAGAGGAGGTCGTTAAGATGGGAATGGTAAGGGGAAGTAGTTTGGAAAAAAAGGTTACAAATAATTTTCACTTCGTAATTGAGTTGTTTGGCTTCGCCACGTGTCGATTCTTCACTTCACTTTTCTTTTCTTCACTGAGCGATTTTTTTTGGCTTTACTTTGAATGTGGAATCATTCTTTGCCTGTTGCTGCTTCTTCACTTATTATTCTTCCTTTTCTTGTTACTCTTTCCTGTAACGCGTTTTGTGCAACACGCCGCATTGAATTCCCAAAACCGACTGCCAAAGTTCACAGAGCGCCAACTGCAGACCCGACTCTGACGACAGCTACAACGCCAGCTTCAAGCTTGGCTCACTTTTTGACTTATGAGTAGTCAGTAGTAGTAGTTGTTGTTTTTGTTTTTGTTGCTGACAAGCCCTACGAGTGAGCGACCGTGTGCGAGCTGTCTGCAGAGTCAGCGGCGCATGCGACAACGACATGGAAAGAAACAAGAAAGAAACTACGTGTATCTGGGATCGAAACTTGAATACTCTAAAAAAATACAAAATGTAATTGCCTAACGTAGGATGAGGGGTTCCCAATTAACGGATACTTACGAAACTCTAAATTTCTAATGAATATAATGAAACAAAATAATCTTTGGAATAAAATGTACATATATATATTCTACATTTACTGCATTAAGCTGCCACATTGGTTACACCTTATTTATGATCTTCTTTAAAAAATACAATTTTTGTAATTCGTGATCCCTTCTTGATAATATTTCTTTGAAAATAAAAACCATTCTGAAGTCGGTTTGAACTTAGATCATCTAAGAATTTAGAAGCCGAACAAGTATTAACGTTTAACGGCTACTACTAACATTATATTGAATCTTAAACCAAATCTATGATCCTAAATTGAATATGAAAGTTTAAAAAAATACACTCACTTTAATTTCGTTAATTTTGTATGCATTTGTCTTCCGGATAAGGTACAGAATTTGAAAGCTTACTTTATTTTTTAAATTAAAATTAATTTAATATTTAATGAAACAGCTCATCTCGCTGACCATAATTTAACAAATACTTACTAAACTGAAAACTCAATAAGAATCGAAAACTACAAAATTGTTCAATCTTTTCGGTCACTTCTTTTGAGGTTTTATAATTTGCTTTTAAAAAAGAACAATTTTGTCTTAAAAATAAAAAAAAATATGCAAATGTTAGTTGAAGCCCCAAGTCCTCAATTGACCATACAATATTTATTGATACTTGAAATGAAGTCCTTTAATATTTATTAATCGTCATGCTGGGACTTCATATCTGCATGCTAAGAAAAAGTACAATATTAATTTATTGGGAAAAAAAAGATAGCTTAGGGATGTGAAATGCTGTAAAAGCACTATGATAATAAAAACGAAGAGTATACAACAAAAGGATAAGAAAAATTTATCATTTCATCTATGTCTATGTCATCTATGGGTAATTATTTTTCTTTTTGTAGCAATTATCAGATTTGCAATTGAGAGCAGAAAATAGCACGGAAAATAAAAGGCATATTTTCAATTACCTCAGCCCTGATTTTAATAAGTCGTAAGCCCCTGACTTGATGAGGTGACCCCAACCGACAGAGTAACCTAATCTGCAATGCCTCAATATACGATTATTTAAAGAGAATTACACTAAAATATATGGGAATTATCCCGGCCGCAATAAGCCTAAAATATACCAAAAAATCTATTTATCAACCATAAATACCATTCATTTATCTGACTTCAAAATATGTTTTAAATAAACCTTTCAAACTCTCATTCTACACGGTTCTCCTGTTTCATACATATATTAACAATTTAAAAATGCAATACTCTTCAAATTTCTAACTACAGGAAAAATCTTAATCATTTCGACGAGTTGTATCAACAAATCTAAGTTCTGTTTATTTTTTTCTGACTCACTGCTTCCATAGTATTAATTAAATTCATTTTAACTTGACGAAAGATTTATCTGATATGTATAATTATTAGTTTTCGCAAAGATGCCTTAAATCAAATCTTATCAGGACTCTTTCTCTTTCTCTGACTGAGATCAGAAAGCAAGACTGCTTATACATTATATCCTAAAAGTCAAGAACCCATGCTTTTTACCGATAACAGCAAGGGACACCAAACTTGCTATACAGACGTGCCTCACCTAAATGGAGAGAAAGACAAAATCACATATAGCCTGATATATACCAAGTCTATACAACTTATCTAATTTGTTTCTAAATATTAACCTATACTATATACTTGTAGTATATACCCCAAACGAACTGAGCTGAGCACATATGTAGACACATACTTGTAGATAGTATTCCCCCATTGCGTTACGAACAGCATATCAATGTCGACATACCCCTTAGAAAGGGCAATCGAATGTAAAATATTGAGCGCGACTGTGACGTTTTCAGCTACTCGTAGTGTAGTTGCGGCTCTGGCCCGAGTCGTGAGCGTTTCAAAGAGTGGCTCGGCATGTGGCGCTCAGCCCTCATGTGAGGCAGCTACCTGTCGACTTTGTTAGCTTTTGGCACCTTTAATGATGCTGCGCCCCCGTCGCACTCAAGTAGTTGTTGTTATAGCTGCCGTAGTTGTTGTAATTGTTGTAGTTGCTGACGAGCAACGCGTTTTCAGTTTTTCGTTTAGTTGTCGCTGTTTGTGCAATTTGCGTTTAAAAATATGGGCAGCCCATTAGCAAATTAGTGCAAGTTTTGTGTTTTTGCTTTTTTTTAGTTGCCTTTAATATGAATTGCGTTAATTTGTGGGTTACTTTTCATTTATTTTCTTCGTTGCTGGGCAGTTTGGGTTCGGGAGTGTGTGGGAGCATTAATTTGGGTTTAGGACTGTGCTGTGGCAATGTGGCAGAGATAATAAAGACATTAATGTAATAAATTGAGACTAAATGATGAGCACTCTAATAACCACAAATTACTCTAAATAATGATTTATAATGGGTTCAGCGACTCTGCCCTTCAAATGATAATCTCTCGGTTCATAATATTTTTAATCTAAACTCATTTAATATTCATTTGAAACTAATCACGCACTCTGCATAATTGGCTTATCCCTTCACCCGTATGTCTTCCTTTTCTTAAACTTCACTCTTTCTCTTCTTTTTTTGCCGGCGTGGGTGCAGTTTTAAAGCCAAAACGTACATTTTATTAACTGGTTTTTCGCTTTGTGCGTACGCCGATTTGTATGTAAAACTTGTAAGCGGCTCCAATACAATCTTAGCCACAACAACCACAAGAGCAGCAACCACAAAACCACTCAAAAGAGCAGCGGCGGGTGAAGCTTTTGTTGAACTTGACACAATTGTTTCTGTCGCGCAGCCCGTTGCTGCTGTTAATATAAATTGCTTTTCGTCGCTGCTACTGTTGTTGTTGTTGTTGTTGCTGGCGTATTAGTTGTTGTGCAAAAATGTAAAGCTTTAAATATTAAAACAAATTTCAAGCGCGGCACCACAAACTATTCAAGGTTTTAGAGTGGGCGTCCAAATTATGCGGATGTATAATGTACTATATATGATAACTAATAAAGGACTAACTGTCAGTGGATTATATATTAAGGATCCCTAAAGACTGATATGAAATGATATATTAAAATTATATAATGGTTTGAAAATTCTTGCTGCCTTGCTATGCCGAGCTATAGAGAATTAAAGAGTGTCTGAATTGATGATATGAATCATATACATTATCTTTAATTGGAAATGCATCCGCGCTATAATTTCCTTCTATTCAAAGTTAAGAAAAAGTGATTGAAGAAAAGAAGATTAAGTAGCGAGACATGTTTTAAAGTCTTAACACTATTTGCATTAGTTATCTATAAAATTCATCTTTGAAATTCGGTCTTAGTTACTACTTAGCAGGAGATTTCTGATGTCTAGCAATGGCAATGCTTAAATAATAATTTAAGAACTGTGAGACATTACACATGCTAAAGATTCTATATCAAGTCGTACAGACAAACAAGCTGCAAAAGCGGTTGAGGAACTTGGACAGAACTAACAAAAACAAAATTAAATAAAAAGTTGGCCTGGTTGTTCAAGTTCCTCTTAAGGGCTTATATCCTGTCTTGTTTTCTGCCACCCTTACAGCTTAGTTTTATTCTGATTTTATATTTTCCAAGAACGCAATGTGGTGCACAGGACCCATAAGAACCATTAAGGAAAAACTGTGGGCTTCTACCATCATTCTCCAAAGAGTGTGTGATAGAAAAATTCCTTTAAATAGTTTCCACTGTAGTAAATACAGCCGATGAAATGATTGGTATTTAATATATACTTTCCATTTAAAAGAAGTTTCCATTTTTGTTGAATTTTAATGACCCCGGTACTTGTTTTTTTCTACT